CAAATCAGTTTCCATTGTACTGCCCCACCTTTTTTTTTAGCATGATAGAAATCCGAGTTTAATGTTCTTCTCAGATGTGTGTTACCGTTTGTTTTTAGGGAGAATTATTCTGAAATTCTACACAACATATATGAATACCACAAAGCCTATTGATAATTTCAAACTTGATAAATAAAAAAAAATAACAACTAAAAAATTTATCAGCATCTAACTATCAGTTTCTTTTACTCATCATTTGTCATGACAAAAAGGGCACTGATCAGTTTGAGTAGGTAATGATAATACTTCATGTTTTCTGAAATAAATACCTGGCGAGGGAATTGGAAAAAAGAAGAAGAAGAAGAAGAAGAAGAATAGCATGTTTTTGTCTTGGCCATAGTAGATAAGCAAGACTAGGGATACAGATGTCCACAACAATTTTGGAGGATATACTGTATTTGAAATTGCCTACGGCTCCAAATCTTTGTGGGATCCTCAATTATTCCTCATCCGAAAGCCATTTTAGAATTGATCGATCTGTCCTTTTCTTAATGTGATCAGTAGCTTAATTATTTGATGTCCTATTCTTATATTAGTTAAATTGAGAATACAATTGCAATCGTAGTTTATGGCTAAAGCTGGAACTTCCTTTTGAAGAATCTCCCGTATCTATTGCTAGGGAGTTTGAAGCACAATAAACTCCCAAAGTAGAAGACGTCATATTAATATATTCGCCTCCTGTGGTTCCTTGATATATAAGAAATTCTTAGAGCCTTCACGTAGCATATGTCCTATGTCGAGCATAAAAAGTTATATAATTTTGACTAATTATTTTTCCCATGTAATCCATAGGACAAATAATAAATTAATTTTGCAAGGAAATTTTCTCATTCTTAATTTTTAATATTAAAAATATGTGGAGAGACGTTAAAAGAATAATAACAATATTGATACAACACCCACTAAGTCGTGTGAGAAAATATTTAAAGAATTAAAGAGTACTACATACTAAAAGGATTTAGACCTGTAAATGATAGAGTTACTTATAGATTTCATGCGACATATTACATGAACTGACGCGTTTTCTTACATGTTGTAAGGATTCTAATGTAAGTTGCATTGTTAACGGTTGATGAATACGGTGCGATTATCTTTTCAAGAGAAAAATCGGTTACTTATATCTTTATTGGTTTTTATGAGTCGTCCGGATTTAACTTGCCCAATTTTATTATTATTATTACTTTTTTTATGTTGTTGGCCATGGTTCGATGATGTTGGTTGGAAAATGATAATAAGGGCATGTTTGGCAATATGTTATAGAAACATTTTTTTATTTTTCAAACAAAAAATTTAAAAAAAAAAAATATTATTATGGAGAATAAAAAAACGAAAATATCTTTTAAATATTTTGAGATTATTATTTTAGAGAATAAGGGAGGATGGAAAAAAAAACTTATTTTTATTATTTTTTTATTCTCAAAACATGTTTTATAAAATATTAATTTTTAAAATAATAAAATAAAAATAATTTTAAACATGCCCTAAATTTTTTCCCAATGCAAGACAATAATTCATTGAGAAGTGAAATCGACTAATTCTGGACCTGAACTTTCGGCCCATCTCCAGATATGTACCAGAAGAATAAATGTCTGTTTCCAACCCGACGAGTCCATTTTTATTTTTAGAAGCTATTGACTTCAGAGTTTAAGACCCCGAAAGAATAAAAAGAGCTTTTAACTACTTTTTCTCTGTTTATCAGTCAGATGGCTTCAAGAAAACACACACGCGGCTGGTTAAAAACAAAACAAGGCAGGCACTTCCCTATTTTTTTTTTTTTTAAAAAAGAACATACATGCAAGCAGCCAAGACAATACATAGAATGTGGGCCCAAAAAAAGACTACACATAGCATGAGGGGGAAAATCCAGTTCTGCGAAGAATTTATTTTTTTACATTCACTACAGTTTTTAATGTTTAATAATATTATATTTGTTTTGTTGAATATAAAAAATTAAATGAAAACTAATTCTATCAATGTTTAACTTTTGTCGTTGCTTTTTAATTTTTTTTTTAAAAAATTATTGCCACTCCACTTCTACCAATGCGAGTGAAATTTATTACGGCAAACAATAAAGAATTAAATGCTTGCTACTTTTCTCAAAATGCAGATGATGATTTAAAGAATTTAATTGTTGATACTTTGGGAATAAGAGGTACAGATGATCTTGGGAAGTATTTGGGATTGCCAATGGTGTGGCGTAGATTGAAATCTGAGGCTCTTGCGTTTGTGAAAAATAAGATGAGGGTGAATTTACAAGGTTGGAAACAGAGACTATTATCTTTTGCTGGCCGTGAAATATTGATAAAGGTTGTGGCTAGTGCAATTTCAATTCATCTTATGGCATGTTTTAAATTTTCAAAAAGGTTTATGTAGAATTGGATGGGATGGAATCTAATTTCTGGTAGGGTCAACAGTAAAATGAGGACAAGATTCGTTGAAAAGCCTAAAAATCTTTGAGTAGACCAAAGGAGGAAGGAAAGGAAGCATGGCATCCTGAGGGTGGTCTAGCATTTTGGAAAGTAGAGATCTTCTTAAGAAGGATCTTTGCTAGAAAATTGGCAGTGGTGTTTGTGTGAATGTATTTTTGAATAAATAGGTGCCAGAGGCTAACGGGCATAAATTGTCATAGATGAATATGCCTGTTGAGTTAAAGGAATTGAAAGTCTCTTGTGGTATTCATAATGGCAAATGGGATCTGAGTTTGTTGGAGGGATTGATTAGTATGAAAGAGAAGGAGCAAATAAGAATGATCCAAATTGCCATTAGTGAACAGTGCCGATAAATATATGTGGTTGGGAAGTAAAGATGGGACTTATTCAATGAAGTTGGGATATAAAGTTGTTGTGGAAGAGGGAAAGGGTTGTGTGGCTAAGGATTTGAGTGGATCTCATGTGATCTTTAAGGAGGTTTGGAAGGGTATTTGAAGGGTTAAATTGCCTCTAAAAATTCATCATTTTCTTTAGAGAACAATGAATGGTGCTTTGGCTACTAGAGATTATTTGTTTATGAGAAAGTGTGCAAATGATCATGGTTGTCCTATATGTTATGAGAATATTAAGACAGTGGAGCATATGCCTATTTTTGTGTCCATGGGTTAAGTTGTGTTTGTTTGGCTCCCCTTTATCATTAAAGTTTGGCAAGTCGGATGTGAGCAAATTTGATAGATGGTGAGAAGATTGGGCTGTTGGGAAGGATGGTTTAGATGATTATGCAATTGCTCTTTTTGCTTCTATGTGTTGGATGATCTAGAAAGCCAGATGTAGTTTTTTGTTTGAGAATGTTGAAGTTGATGCTGAGTTGTGTATTAGGAAGACTATTGGTTTGATTGATGAATTTTGGTCTTCAATAAAAAGACAAAAAAGGAATGTACAGGTGCCTGGGTTTATTGCTAATAGGGCATCTAAATGGATTAAACCAGATTCTTTTTATGTAAAGGTGAATGTGGATGGGGTGTACTATGCAAAGGAAGGAAAGGCAACTATTAGTTTGGTTGGAAGGGACCATAATGGGCAATATATGGGGGGTCTGGGGAAGTAAATGACTGTTACTTCTACATTTATGGCAGAATGCTTGGCTTTATTAGAAACTTTGCAAATGAAAGATTTGTTTAGTAATGGTAAGGTCTTTTTTGAAACTAATTGTTAGGAATTGTACAGAAGAATGCTGGCTAGAGATGTTAAAGGATGCGAATGATTTTGTTCTAATATTTTGTTAAAGTGTTTTGAATTGTGTGATACTGATGTGAATTGCTTCTTGTCCTTGGTTGCTCGTGCTAGTAATGATGTTGCAAATTGGATTGCAACTGATGTTATAAGGGGCATGGTACCGCAAGGATGGCTTTTTGAGCCACCATCTCCTTTGGTTAATGTGATGGTAAGGGATCTACAAGGCAAAAGCAGTAAAGCTAAGATTTTGTTTCTTTTCTTCTGGTTTTTGAGGTTTTAACTAGGTTTTAATTGCTTTGCTTTTCTTTCCTTTGTTTGTATTCCTAGGCTTTGTTGCTTTTCTTTCTTTACAGGGAATTAGTGTGTGTAATTTTTTTTGATGATATTAATAAAATGGTCTATTTTTTGCTAAAAAAAATGCTTGCTACTTAATGAATGAGGTAACAGAAAGGGCATGTATAATATATTTTTTCCATAATAATATAATGCTTTAGGGTTCTCCAGCAAAGGTATTATGAGCTTATGGCCCTCTCAAATAAGTCTATATTCATTTTGTTTTTAGGATTGAGGATTATTTTTATCTTTTAGATTACCGGACATTCGAAGTTTAATTATAGATTAATTTTTTTCCTCAACGTGATTTCCTCTCTGTTACCCCTTATGTTGTTAGCTATCTTCATTTTCATTTGTGTGTGGACCTACCATTTTTAAATTTTTTATAATAAAATATTAAAATGCATGCCCCACCTACTTCTATCCCCTCTCTTCTCCCACATTCTCTCTCCTGTTACATTCTCTCTCTCCTTCCCGCCCACCTTTTGCAAGTCGATGCTCTTCCTATTTTCACCGTTGGCCATCTCCCTCTACTCCTCAAACAAACCCCTTACAAGTTACAACTACCACAAGCTCATGTCCTCAATCAACCCATGGAAAGAAGATATTCACTATCTTCCATGGCCCCAACCTCCAATAAGCTCGTGAGTACATTACCTATTTACTTGAACATACAAATGAAACTTAGCGGTAACCACGAAGATGGCAAGGTTGATGAAATTTGTCAGAGATGAGAGATATACTAAAGAATGATTGAAAAATGTCATATTTAGTATTAAGACAAACGGTAGATTATATATATAAAGAAAATAAATAATACAATAATGATTAATAATAATTATATAATAATATCAAATAATATCTCCTAATAATGATTGAGATATATACACAATAATAATAGAAGATAGTTAGAGAATATTCTAGATAACATCCTCTCTCGAACTTAAGATGGCTTGATAGAGAGTCACTTAAGTTTGTTTACTAGAAATTGAAAGCTGCCTGGATGAAAAGATTTTGTAAACAAATCCGCTGATTGATACTTGGTTCGAATTGGAATAAGTTGAATGGTGCCTCGAACAATATGCTACCGAGTAAAGTGACAGTCAATCTCAATGTGTTTGATCTGCTCATGAAACACATCATTTTGAACAATCTTGATTGCAAGTTGACTATCACAATAAATATTTGTGAAGAAGCTCTGAGATGCTCTCAATTTATCAAGTAACTAATAAAGCCAAAGTACCTCGACGATAGTGTTTTCTAGTACATGATATTCCAATTCAGCATCAGAGTAAGAGGTTAATATTTGCTTTTTACTTCTCCAAGAAATAAGGGAATGACCAAGAAAAATACAGAAACCTATTATAGATCATCGATCAACTCGATCACCACCCCAATCGGCATTAGAGTAAGTTTGTAGCGCAAAAGAGGAGCTAGCAGAGAAGTAAAGCCCATCATATAGAGGCCTCTAATATCTCGAATGATCTGAAGAATTGCTACATAATGAGTTGTGTGAGGCTCAGATATAAACTGGTTGACAACACAAACTACATAAGCAATGTTAGGAAGGGTGGCAGCAAGATAGATAAGGCCCCCAATTAGCTAGTGATAACAGATAAGATTATCCAATAAGGTGTCATCAGTAGAAGTGTAGTGAACATTTGGTTCGATATGAGTAGTTTCAACCACATCATCCAAAAGGTGAGCTTAGGATATCAAATTAGTAGCATACTTGACTTGAAAGAGAGATATACCATCACTCTCATGATACCTCGAGCCCAAGAAAATAGTTCAATTTGTCAAAATCCTTCATTTCAAATTACTGGCAGAAGTATGTCTTGAGCTCATCAACTCCCATATCATCATTACTTATGATAATCATGTCATCAACATATAATAGCAAGTAAACAATAATTGTTCTAGTTAATTAGCAATCTTCATCATCAATTATGCATAAAATAATATCAACAAAAAGAGGCATACAGTAGGAATCACAAGTTCCTATGCCTTTGCCTCAAGTACTTTTCCAATCTCTTTTTTGGAGCTAGTGCCTGTAAAATATTAAATATGGGTGAGTATAACTATTCAATAAATAAGAAGAATCTAAATTATGCATATGCAGGTCAAACTAATTAAGCTATGCAAAGTACGCAATTACAATTCACATATGCAAATAAAACTATATCACATCACATGATATTAGATATGCATGATCAAACACCTCTTATCTCTTTCATGTATTACTGACTGAATTCTTAGATTAACAAATTCAATAGGACTAAGTTTATGTGATTAGCCTAACCCAAACTCACCAATTGTGAAAAGCTCTTTACCAAAGGTGCTGTACTTACTCTCAGACTATAAATTTTCCTATTTTCAAATTCACTGTGGTGTCTTAAGTCTTATCTATCACCCAATTCGGGAAATGGTTAAAGACTGAGAGCTTAGATAACCTATGCTTATACACATTTTCGAGCAAATTTCAAGAAGACTCGATCCAAAACCAAATCACCGAAGCTACTCATAATGTTGGTTATATTTCAAATGGAAAATAAATCACTCCTCCTCTTTTAGGACAACCTCTCACCTAATATATGATCATGCAAAACTCATAGTATCACCATGCACACTAAATCACATAACATACATGCATCATCATAATTTATCATATGTTAGTGCAATATTCAAAATCTTCTTTTCAATAAATAGCTAACATCGCAACTTTAATTCCTTTCCCATTTATATAAATCAAGCCTCACCATGCATATGAGATTATTAAACAATAATTCTAGTTTGTCAATTTATAAAACATTTTTCTCATGTTTACAAACAACCGTAATTATTCTAACAAGCAATAACACAAAATAGAATACTCTAACTACCTCAAACATTTGAAAACTTAAAGGTTATCCTTAACAACTTGCTTACCAAGCTTGTGATGAGTTCAAATGATGTGTCACAAGGTTAATAAACAATTAGTAACAATCATTCATTACTAACAACAAACATACATATCACTTCCAACTCTTAAACTCACACTTATAAACTAAAATTCCTAACTTCAAGTTCAACCTTTCATCCAATAAGTTTATTAATTTTCTTTAACTATCTATTTAGCTCCCATTAACTTAAATAACAACTAACATATCATCCATCAATTTAAAATCTTACTTAAAGTGGCTAGGGTTCTTACAAAACTCTAAACCCAAACTCCCAACCTTATAAAATCTTTAAAATTAGATTTATAAAGGTCAAACAACTCCCATTAGTCCTAATAGAACTAATGGGTTTAGATTCATAGCCCTATGTCCAAAAATGTTCATCTCCCAACCCTTAAACCCCGACTCAAATTCATGTAGCAGGAAGAGGATGGGATAAGGAAGATATACTTTGGCGAGATCAAGCTTAAATTACCTTCAAAATGTTTAGAAGATGAGGCCCTAGCAAAAACAATGCCTCTTCCTTCACTGCTTCTTTATTTCTCATTTCCTCTTCTTTTTTGTTGTTCGCAACTCATGTACTGATTATTTACAATTTTGACCATCCATCATGACGGATGACGGGGCCTAATCCATCTGCTCTTCCGTTTTACGCTTAGGTGGCTTAAAACACCTCAAGACTAAATCCAAGAGCTGTAACCAGTATAAATAGGACCGTTAGCTGTCACTGACCTTCAACAAATCATTAAATACTCAATTTCATTTATTTAACCCTGTTAATTTATTTAATCCGGAAATTAAAATCCTGAATGTTAAAACATGCATGCTAGGTTCAGCTAGCTGGTACAAGGAAGAAATGACCAGGTTAGTCGTCTGATCTTTTCATATGCACAAAGCAACCATGCTGTACGCTAGAGTCGATGCTTGTGTTGTTTGCTTTGTATATTTGCAAGAGTTTGCTCGATTTGTATTTAATGAGTCGATGCGTAGTTTTGAAAAGATTGCCCTGTGATTATTAAAAAAAAAAAAATCTACATACATAAGTGAAATCGAAGCATCTCCAATCATCTAAGTCATGCATTAAAAATTCAAAAATATGTATTATATATATATATATATAGCACCGTCTTATTTACCAACTGGATCTGCATTAAGATACATACCTGACCAATTATTTTGTGCTCGATTTGTATATTTTTAAATGCCTTGTTAATTATCTCTTGGTAATGAACGAAAAAAATGTCATGGCCATACATTGCTTCATCCGCTTCTGGCTGGGGTTCGGCATAGGTGGGGACTACCCTCTCTCGGCCTTCCTCTTCCAAAATCAGCTTCGTTTCCCATTAACTGGTTTGCAAACACTTGCAGTGTAAAGCCAAGCCACAGTAGAACTCCAGGCTCTTGGTACTAGGAACACGAAGTGCAAGGAAGCCTTCCTCACGACTCTCTGTTTATCTCTGTTTTTTGAATAAAAAAACAGAGGTGGAAAGAGGAGGAGGGGGAGAGTGATGGAGGGAAACAGGACAGATGCTAAAAAACACGACCTCCCTCACGACTGGGCTGCAGATTCAAGCTAAACCCATCATTATTGCCTCTCTTCTTCATCTCCTCCTCCTTCTACGTCATCATTCCCACACGAATTCTTCATGAGCATGCCACGGTGACCGTAACCGTCGAGTTCTGCATATGCATGTCACTGTGAACAGAGCCAATGAGTGGCAGTCGCGGCCAAGGACCTGACTGTATTATCTCCAACCTGTTCTACCCTTGGATGGAGGAGAGAGAGGAGAGACTCCATCGTTTCACTCCGGTGACCTGACTGTGTCGCCTCCGACGGTTTTAGCCTCCTCGAGTTTGCATCCCCACAAGACTCTTCATAGGTCTCCAAGATCAAGGTTGACGGAGATCACTGTCTTTGCGCTGGTTCAGGAAATCAGAGCAGGAGAGGGAGGGTGAGAGGGAGGGAGGGAGAGAGTGGGGGAGGAGAGAGGGAGCAGAGGAGACGCCGGGAGGATAACAAAATACTCCACCGTTTTTTTTTAAGTTATTTTTATCAATCTTAACCAAAATATAAAAAATAAAAATATAAAAAATTTTAAATATATTTTTATATAATATATTTTAAAAGTAATATCATTTTTTGTACGATGGATAATTTTAAAAATATTTTTTAAATATTATTTAAAAATTACACCATAATTTATAATTTATAAATGAAATTAAATATATCTTTTAAAACATGCTTTATAAATAAGACAGGAGAAAGTATTAACAAAACAAATTATGAGGTCCGCTAACACAGCAAATTGGGAAGAAAAATGGGAGAAACACTTAAGTAGATTAGATATACTATATTATTTATGATCTATTTAATTAAAATATTTTTAGTAATTTAAATAAAATTTTGTATGATATTTTTAAATTGATTTTATTTTCATAACAGAATGTTAATTTAATTTCTTGTCTTTTTTTCTCTATTATTATTAATATCAAAATTAATTGATATTTAATACTATTTAAATATCATATTTTTATTGAACAAACTACAATGACATGATACATCCAATTTATTTAATTACTTCTTTAAAAAAAATAAAATGAGAGGAGAGATAATATTTAATATTGAAAGACTGTATTCACTTACAATTGAGTTTAGGATATTTAGTTACTTTTTCACAAAACTAGTCTTAACTTTTTTAAATTGAAAAAATATATATTTTGATCCTTATATTTTGTTTGTATTTTATTATAGGTTCATACACTTTTTTTCTAGTATTTTGGGTCTTTATACATTTATTTTTAAAATTTTAATCCTTAAATGAATAAAGTGTAAAAACTTTGGATAAACGTAAAATATTAAAAAATAAAAATATAAGAATTTAAAATATAAAAAAAATACTGAAACTTATAATAAGATAAGAGCAAATTGTAAGGATTAAAAAATATATTTTTTCTTTTAAATTTTTCCATACTGGTGCACATCGTTGATACGGTGCTGTGTCATCTGGATAGAAACTCTAGTGTAGAAGAATTGTATTATTTTCCCCCGTCCCATTATCTGTTTGTTCATCAGGTCACTCCGACGTATAGCGGGAATTTTGCGGGTACGACGCAACACGCAACTGCACGCTAGCGTTAAAGATAGCATTATCAAAATAAAAGTAAATCTCTTGTCACATAAAATTCAACTCAATATTCCGCAATCCTTTACTTGATTCCGCTCTAATCATACAACTCAATCATTGTTCATTAGCCAACGGCTGCTTCCAGGTGTGCTCGCTCCGGCTTTCGTGATTCGCACGTACAGACATTGTTCTTCTCGATCCTCTGGAAAGCATACTAGTGCTCTCCTCATCGTCTAACAATCCTGCTTGAAAAATTTCAGTGGAATTCCATCCAATTAAATTAAATTAAGATTAAATAATGGAAAGGCGTGATTAGTCTTTATTTGTACTTCCTCCCGTTCTATATACTCTTAAGTTACCTAGCAGAAGAAATTCATAATCTTTTTACGAAAAAGTAAAAAATGAATAGTAAAAGAGAAAATATTTTAAAAATGATGATGCATTTGTAAAGGTAAATTATAATTTTTTAAATAATATCAATAATTTAATTATTTTTTATATTTTTAATGAAATAGTTAAGAATAACTTATAAATAGTTAATAATTTTACTCTTGAATTTCTTAGAAGGAAAGAAATTGAGCAAAGTAAACAAACTTTAATAATACAAAATGGATAATGCGCCTTTTGCGACCCAATCAACAGGGGCATGTGGACTGTACTGTATATTCACAAAAGAAAAGAGTTCGACGAGTGCACGCATCTAAAAGGCTAATTAACCGAATTATTATTATATTATTATTATTATTACTCCTGGTCGACGGCTATGACCTTTCTCCTTGTCTCTCTCTCGGAAGCTGAGCATCCTGTCTTGCTTTCTTCTCAATCGTTTTGCAGGTCGAACAAACAGCTCAACAACAAAAAGCTGTCAGAAAACCAGAAGCTCCTCAATCGTTTTGACCTTCCTTTCTTCTTTCTCTAGCTGTTGCAGCCTCCATTTGCAGGTAACTTACTCTCTCCTCTCGCTGTTCATCTGCTTTCTACTGATTGAATCGAACTCAAACATATCGCAATGATCGCCGACACGTGATTTTGCCGTCCCATTAGCTTCGATCTTGTTTTTGAAGAATTTGCTTACGATATCTTGAGTCTGAATTGACGTCAAAGTAAACTCGATGAAGTTTTGATGTTGTGATTTAGATTATCCTGAGCAGTGTTGTGACTTGTGAACTTGTGGTCTGTGCGTATTAAATACGTGATTAATTCGCGAGGAAAATTTTAGCTATTGAGAAAAGTGGTTCGGATCCTTCCGAAATTCTAGCACGAGACTTTTAACTAAATTTCCTTTTACAAATACCTGAGATCAGAGTTCAAACTAGAAATGTCAGCTTAGCTACGTTTATATAGCGTAGCAAATGACCTGTAATAAACTTCTCAAGCGCAACATTTTTCTACTTGTTTGTTCTGCCTGCTTGGGAAGTTAGCTTGAGTGATTTTCCCCCGAAAAAAATTTTGCGTTTCAATTTGAGTTCTGAAACAAATTACTTAATAGTTTGACATGTGATTTCTCTTAGCAAAATGAGTCGTCATAAAGAATTCTGACCCGAATCAGGCTCGTCTTTGTGAAAAAGATTTGTGGCATGGAATCTTTCTGTTTAAGCTAACGTGAATATTTTCAAAATATGCCAGATGATCTCACTCAAATCCTGTAACTTTTCTTTCAATTTATCCAATTTAATTTATTTATTCTTGCAACGGGCAATTCTCACAATTGAACTCTTCTATGGTCTTATTCTCCCTTTTTAAATTCGTTTTGTTTTTTCCCGACCTATTTTATTTATTTACTTTTTGATACAGGTTAAAGAAGGCTTTTGCTATTATGGGTAATGCAGAGTCAGTGCAAGAAGAATCTCAGGATTATCTTTTTCGTGGATCGCCTTCATATGCTGGGAGCTCACTGAATACTGGATACGAACATGAATATACTGCTTCTTATGCTGGGACAGGGAGCTCAGTTAATACTAGCTATGAGTTTCAACAAACTCCTTATGCAGAAACTGGGGTTTCAACAACCACTAATTATCGACACAAACAGCAACATCGACATAAGCAGCAACCCACGCACATAGCTGACAATTTCAGTTCATTAGATGAGGTGTTTGCGGTTACTTTTGCTCACTGATTTGAGGAAGATAACCTGTATTAATTTCGGGATTACTTAGAAAACTTTTTTCTGATGCATGTATGAGAAACCTGTGAATCAATGAGTTTAACTCGGTCACATGTTAGGAAATCCTTGCAGCGCTTCCAGATGACCTCATGATAAACGTAGGTATTAGAAGTTATAATTATAGGCATTAAATAGGGTGCGACAACTTGAGAAGCATAAAAGGAGATGGCTCCACACGGAGAAGTTTATCTTGGTATAAACACAGTTAAATAACTGATAATATCACTATTAGGTCAGTTTGCTATGAAAGAAAGCTATAGGTACTGTGCTACTCTATAATTTTAGATTTTTTTTGAATATACTTGGGATTTTAATTATAACTTCTGTTGCACCTTCTTCCTACTAAAGAACATGACACACGTATTTCAGGTTGTATCTGCTTTAAGAGAAGCTGGTTTGGAATCTTCAAATTTGATACTTGGTATTGACTTCACCAAAAGCAATGAGTGGACAGGTTATTCATTTTAAATAAGGACCTAGTAATGCATATCCATTTACTTAGAATGAATGTAGAGAGTCACAGCTTGATAATTGCAGGCAAGTACTCGTTTAACCGGAAAAGCCTTCATTCTATTGAAAACACTCCTAATCCATATGAGCAAGCAATTTCTATCATTGGCCGTACTCTGTATTCTTTTGATGAAGACAATCTCATACCTTGTTTTGGGTTTGGAGATGGTGAGTAGCTGATCATGACGTTAATTTTGGATAAAAAGATAGTATATTTTTCCCCCCATTGATTTCAATTAATATGCTTTTGTAGCATCTACGCATGACCAGTATGTGTTCAGCTTCTATCCTGGTAGTCGTTATTGTCATGGTTTTGAGGATGTACTTGCACGCTACAGGCAGATTGTTCCATGCTTAAAGCTGTCAGGTTTGTTTTATAATGGACTTTCCTTTCTGCATTTGTACAGTTTAATTACGTTGAGATACTTGTAGAGGGAGAGAAAGATAATTGCTGTATGACCTGAAAGCAGGTTATGAGTTCAAAAATTGGAAATCCTCTGAACTGAGGTCTGTCAATATCTGATTGTAGTTAGGAACAAAGACCAAATTTGAGAAAATAGAACCTGTTTGAAGCTATGCTAATTTGGTACTTCATGTATGTTTAAACGTGAAATTAGAAAAGCTCATTAAACTATAGACACTTTGTTGACCTCTCACTGGTAAATGTCTTTTATAATGTATAACTTTTCACCCTTCTTTTAAATCCTTAATTGGCAGTTTTCTGGAAGCCGAACTCCCTTCCCTAATCTCTGTTACGAGTCATTAGATTCCTAAAGCATATAGCTATCTCTTCAAATTTTTCGTCAGACCTTAACTATGAAAGTTCCCTCCCTTATCCATAGGTCCAACATCTTTTGCCCCAGTAATTGATGCAGCAGTTGACATCGTGGAGAAAAGCAATGGTCAATATCACGTTCTTGTCATTATTGCTGATGGACAGGTTTGCTTTTTCTTTTTCAATCACTCTTCTGTTCCCGTAATCTTTTTTCATGGTACAATTTTAATGGTCCTTTTTCTTAATTCTCTTGTTTCTGAAATGTCTTTAATAGGTTACTAAAAGTCCTGGTGCATCACGTGGAGAGCTCAGTCCACAGGAACAAGCAACTATTAGTTCCATTATTTCTGCAAGGTAAGGCAATTTCCTCCGTAGCTATTTCTTTGATGTTGTTCACGGTAGCTCTCTTTGATGAGGAGCTTTTATGATAATCAGTCACTATCCTCTCTCAATTGTTTTGATTGGAGTTGGAGACGGACCATGGGATGAGATGCAGCACTTTGATGATAACATTACTCAGCGCCTATTTGACAACTTCCAGGTTTTTCATACTTCTATGGCCATTGGCAAAATACAAGTGTGTTTCTCATGACTTTGTCATTTGAGAAGAATTCTTTGTTGTTAAGTTTGACGGTATAGAATCAAGTAACTACGTTATTTCATTTTTAACTCTAACACCTCTTAACATCACTGAAGACTGAGAATATTCTTATAATTTAGTGCGTTCAGGCTTCTACCTCATGCCCTTTCTTAATTAAGTCCACTCCATCTCTAGGTTCGGGGGCAGTATGTCTCAATCTTCATTGATGTTTCCCTCCAAGGACATATCCAGTTAAAAAATCATATTTAATAGTACAAAAAGTGATGAATGAGGTTTGAGAATTGATGTCAATGAAGGAATTGTGAGTCGTTTAATCTTTATACTTGAAAAGTGGTAGGTTTATATCTCAATAAACGCTGGAAATTTCTTTAGCGTTCAATGTTCAAGGGTACCAACTTTGGTTTTGTTCTAATGATTATATTCTGCATGTTGTTTAATGAGATAATAGTAACGAAGTCTTCCTTTATCAGTTTGTGAATTTCACAAAGATCATGTCTGAAAACAAGGAGGCATCAAAGAAGGAAGCAGCATTTGCACTTGCTGCCCTTATGGAAATTCCAATACAGTACCGGGCAACCCTAAACTTGCCACCCGCCGAGTATGACATTGATTACAGTTTTGATGTATCATTAAAAAAAGCTATAATTAAGGATGACTAAGCATCTTTTTCTCCTGTTGCAGTGAACAATCAGTAGGTTATCGACGTAAACAGCCCCGGCCCCCACCCAAAGAAGTAATAGATCATGACAATGAAATAATGGCAGCTCCACACACGACAAACTTTGAATCAGTTGAACCCACAGCTCCAGCTGCAGTCGAATCAGTATGCTTTCCCTTCATGCTCTCCTTTCGCATGCTCTGGTTCTTGTTTAGATGACATGATTGAGACTTGATAAATGCCTTTCCTGTTCAAGGTATGCCCTGTTTGCCTAACTAATCCAAAGAACATGGCATTTGGATGTGGTCACACGGTAAGTCTGTTTATTCTTACTCTTGTTTAATGCTATGCTAATTTGGGGGAACTAAACTTTTTCTGCCACTAGTGAAATTTCCTAGTATGATAGACCAGATTATCTTCCCTAAATCCTGCTCAGACGATTACGCAACATATTAACTCGGACGCATAACATGTGATATAATTGGAAGGAACATCTAAAAAGCAATTTCTTTCTACTTAAATAGTTAAATGTAATTTTTTTTTTTGATGAAGTTCTTTTTAATTACAAACAAATGGTAAGCATCTGTAACACTATAATTGACCTCTTTTTTCCGAAAGGGGGGATATTTCTCCTGCAATATTTTGATCGAAAATCTTGATATTTGACAAACTATACCTAAATTCTGGTCCGAGGAGATGGGATGCATTCCACTTTGAGCGCACATGTTAAACAGTTGCCTGTTCTTGACAATTCTGACTTGCATGTTAACAAGTCTAATATTTATACCGTTGTTTCCAAAACAAGACTTGCAAGGAGTGTGGAGCGACGTTATCTTCGTGTCCGATGTGTCGGCAGCAAATCACAACCCGCCTGAGGCTGTACACTTGAAACAGTTCGGTTCACTATTCCCGTTACAATATTTGATATTTGTTATTAATATCACAGGATTTTGTGGATGTTCAAAATCCAATCATATCTTTCAGATTTTTCAATCTTTTTAGTATTATTTTGTGTATTTTATTTGATTTAATTGGTTATATCCGTGTCTATAAGTAGAAAGCACATTAATTATATTCTATACATTGAAATATGGAAACTTTCGATTCTCATTCTAGTTCTTTTGGGGGAAAAAAAACGAGCCATGAATTATAATTAACATGACATTGCTCTTTGGTCAGCTCTACAGCGAAATTGAGATAAAATTTATAGGTAAGTGTATCATGTCATCAGATAACAAGTTATATTATTCATAAGATAGTGATTTTTCCATCTTCTATACATGCTCGCATCACATTGTGCTAATTGTTCCCCTTCCGCTCTAGTCCCAACAGCCGTAGAAGGGAAGATCCACAAGATCACATTCTGCACAGCTGGCTGATTAATTTTGTCAAGAGGATTACAAATTATGCTTTGAAGCAGATAGAACAGGGAATTTGAAAGGGTTGAGTTTATTCAAGCTGATCTAAATAAATCTGACTTGAATAAACTAAAACCCAAACGAGCCTGACTATCTAAAAAGATTGAATAGCAAAGCTCGACCCGAATTCCACCTGAATACTCAAATTTTATTTTTAAAATTTTATTCTATTTTATAAAAATATATTAATATTTAAACTATGTATGAAATTCAAATATATGATATTTTAATATAAAATAACATAAAAGTTAAAAAGTTAATTAATATTTATTATATATATATTCTAAAAAAACAAAAATTTATCTAGGTGCATTGGGCTTGGCCCAAATTTTTTGAACCTATTTATGCAGGTTCGAACATTAAAAAATATCTGTTTTCCCAAGTTTTGTCCTAAGTTTTTTGAGCGAATTTAGAGTGACCCATCAAACTTAACCCAAATTATCAACTCTAGAAGCAAATAAGGAAATCATGCAGCGCATTCAATATAATCTCAGTTGTGCATCATGCTTTAAATATCTCAATTTAGGCACACTTGGATGTAGCAACCTAATAACCACTACTTCCAAAATACATGACATCTAAAAACCATATTTAATTCATAATAGAGGGCATTTCAGTAGTTTTTTTTTTAAATAATATTTTTCACCTATTTACCTACTTTATCCTTTTTAAAAAAAATATGCATATATTCTTACAAAAAAAATATACATATGAATTTCGATTATAATTATTAAGGTACTAATATAGGATATTTAATAAAAACACAAATTAAAAGATAAAGTCCCTCAATTAAAAAAATATAAAACATTTTTTTATAGTTTTAAGATATAATTAATGTATTTTTAAAAATGCTCATAATAAATAAATCACTATACATTTATTTTAAAATAGAACATCTTATAAAATATGAAAAGAATAATATTAATTTAAAGACAATTAACTACTTTATTAAAAACAAAAACTCAATTAAAGATGCCTTACAATTTTTAAAAGATAAAGTAAATTTTTTTAAGAAGTTAAGGCTTCATCTAATTTTTTTAAAAATTGTGAAATAATTACTAATACCTTAAATTATAATCTAGAGAATATATTATTTATAAACTTGTTTATGATGCAACTATTCCTTTCAACACTTGAAAATGATACATTGAAAACCCCACTACTAAAAATTAACCAACCATTAAATGACCCAGAAAATTACAAGACTATCAAAAATTACAAATAAATATAAAGACTTGTAACTTTTAACTTTGACCATTGCTAACCTAAAAAGGGTTAAAGGTCTTTTTTTTATACTTAATTGATATTAATCTTATAATTAAATACTCCATTTGTAATTTTATGATTAACAGTTAAAATTAACATTCTTAACTATAAGATATTTAATACACCATTTTCAAATGTCAAATGAAGAAATTGCATCATGAAAAAAGTTTAAGATGTTATATACTCTTAATGAGTGAATAATTAAAATGCTTTTCAACCCTATGAATTTTATCGGTGACTAGAACTCAAGGATGACAATATCTATATGCCAATAATACAATGCAATACAAATTATTTCAATTTTATTTGCAAGTTGCTTCCAATATTTTCACCAAAACCAAAAAAACCTTGTATCTCATTAACCAAAACCAAAAATTCAACAAGTTTCCAACTTACTTTATTAAATATATATACTTTAAAAATAAAATACTCTAATATTTAATGAGCTAAACGATAAAGAAATGCACAATAATTATTGAAATACTCAATAAATAGAATCAAAATAAATATTTTTTCTTTATCCTATAAATAAAACTAAAAAAGTACGTGACAAAAACAATAATAATAAATTCAGACCTGGATATAGAATCCTAGAAATTCCACCGGTCCAATTGCAACTTTGCTTCAGCCATATCTTTCTGTGCCTTTTTCCTTCTATAAAAAATGGGGCAATCTCGACTGAAAATAATACATTAGTTATTTGGGGTGATGAGAAACTGCAGCAGATAATTATTTTAGAAATATCAAGGAACCGTAACATAACATTTAGGGCTTGTTTACTTTCTATTTTTTAAAAATAGTTGCTTGTTTTAAAAAACAAAAAAAATTGTTTGGATAGATGTTATAAATTTAATTGTTTCTAAAATTATTTTTTAAAAAACAAAAAATAGAAACATCCTAAAACTCTTTTCATTATATTTTTTACTTTCAAAATACATATATGAATTATTGAAAACTACAATCACTTGACCAATCATCATCACAAGCCACCTTCATTAACTACTGACAACCATTACTATCTGGCCGATTTTTTATTCTGAAACTAGTTTTAAATTAACACAACCAAATGGATTTTCATTGTTTTGTTTTGAAAAATAATTTTAGAAACTGTATTGCAAGAGTTTTTGAAAACAAAAACCAAACAAATGCTTAATGACTGTTGTGGCAGAGCGGAAAGAACCACCAAGGGAATGGGGGAAATAACTAATTTCAGTTCTTGAGTATGGGAATGCTTCTGAAAGTCAAATAAAACTGAACAGTTGCAGCTATGTCGACTCGTGCCAACCAAGCTTATGTGAAGGCGTATATAAATTAACAAATGCATAAACCATTTTAACAATGAAAAGTACCTTGTGCAAAGAACATCCTGATGAAGGGAACCTTGGCATTCTTGACATTGTGTCCAAAGCCTCCCAAAAAGCGTCTCTAGATCAGAAACTGCAGCCACACCATTCATTTTGTCCAATAACATTCAAGCTTAAACCATCCAGAGCAACAAAAACGCTCTGAAATCGAACACGAGGGAGTTGAAATTGATGCCTACCTTGAGCAACTGTTTTGCAGTACAACTCTGCTTCCCTTCCCCTGCAATGCGAGCAGAGAGTGCGATCTCCATTGCTAACCCAGCACAACAAAGCAAATATTTAGAGTTCATAGCTAGTCCAAAAAATAGGAATATTTAAAAATAAAAAATAAAAAAGGAAGAAAAAAAAAAGTAAAATGTGACAAGACCTAAGACAAGCTGACATTTTTAGAACACAAATAAGATACCTAAGTAAAGCTTTGCAACCGATGCAAGTAAGCTGTTTCTTAGCAAATTTCATTATGCCACTGTTTGATGGCGTAGAAATAGATATGGATCTTGTGTGGCTTCCATGGAGAAGTTCCTTGCTAGCATTCTTCAAAATAGGCTCAAAAATCCTCAGAATTGGCTGCAACATGAACAATTTGCTCAGAAGCAGAAAACAAATTTAGAGGAACTCTGAAATAGGAGAAGAACCAACCTTGCTAATTTGATTCTCGAGATAATACTGAGGGTCTATTGGTATGTTGTTCTCTAGCACATAGATGGGATCTTCTGACTTTTCATAAGCCTGAAGTTCTTACATTAGTCTAGGTGAAGCCCAGCTTCAAAAACTTGAGAATATGTGGGAGGAGGGAGCAGGGGGAATAAGATATCACCTTGGCACCTTTTGCAGCTTTAATTATGACATAAGGTACTCGATCACCAACATTTGGAGCAGTGGCAGCATCTCGCTGTCAAAAATGAAATCGAGTAGGATATATTTACGGCCCAGAAAACAAAACTTACAATCTGAAGTTCTGAGCATGCCTTAAATGAATGATATAACTTTTTGCTTTAATAAATAAAGCATGCCTCCACAAATAGTTAATCCAATACTTAAATCATATCTAGTAAGATCTGAGAAATGAGAACATACAACAGCAACCATATACAATAAATTATTGATCTAGATTTGCTTTCATTTATGACACCTAGTGCATATGACTCGTTATTTTTTCTTCATCAAATTACAAAACTACAATGCTTTGCCTTTCCCCCTTCTTTAAGATTAAAAGGGGGCAAAAAAAAAAAGAAAAGAAAATGCAACAACTGTATTCAATTATGACAGCTAACCTTGCGCATCCTTTCAGCAAGTTCAACGTGAGCTGCTTTTACTTCATAATCATCTCCCGTCTTGGTTAAACCCTGCAAGGCAAACCCCATATCGCAAGTTCAAGACATCTACAATTTTACTTGTATGACACTCAAATGGCATGTTTGGATTTTTCACAAATGCAACAACCAATATGGAAAAGCACTTCCAGGTTCCAGCACCATTTAGCAATCACCCAAAAGACTTCCCACCTTTGTAATGACCAGAAGTGACAAATCCATGCGGTTCATAAGCAGATCTGAAATTGCATTCTTTACATGCTGGACTGCCCCAGGGATGTCCCTGTCAATCAGAATTTTGTGAAGGCAGTCATTGACCAGGTTCTTTACCAATAAACAATTATCTCTTCGAACTGTTTCAATCCCTGTTAAATGTAAATTATACCAAGAGTAAGAGGCATTTCAATAAAGGGACAGGAGCGTCCTAATAAAATTCGATGTTTACCTTTAGTGTCCATCTTGTCAAATTTGTCTGGTTTTGTCCAAAATAAACCAGCATATCTCTTCTTGCTAATTAGGAGATATGGATAGTAAACCTTCTCAAACTCTAGTTTGATGGGCTTCACAACAAAATCACAAGAAGCAGGTGAGTAGAAGCAAGGTAAGCAGTAGATGAAGCAATGGATTCTTTTGGAGTATGTATTTCTGCACGATGCTGTGCTTAAAACTGTAAAGACTGAATTCCAGAACTCAATAGACAAACTAAGATCAATATCACTTCAACACCTATAAATATAAACTTTTGCTGCAAGATCATGAATTGCTATGTCTTTACTCGTCTATGTATAAAATACCACTAGCCTAAGGGCTCAACTTCATTGCAGTATTGCACAAAAATCCGACTTTCAGAATTGATAATTGGCCAATCATTGTCTAGTAAATTCATAGAAGGTTCTCCATTGAGAGCACAGGTGATTCTAAAGAGGGCAAATTGAACTTTTCAAGATAATAAATAGATCCAATTAAACTGAAAGAAAAGACATTCAAACTTACAAGGAAAAACTTGGAAATAGTTCTAAATTTTACTCCATAAAAGAGCATAAAACTTACTTTAATGAAAGTTCCACTAATATATTCAGCAGCCTCTCTCCCTAATTTCATAGCCTCTTCCACAGAGGAAACACCAAATTGCACCATGACTGAATCTGTGTCACCATATATGACCTATTGGCATAAATCGCATTTAAAAATGAGTAATCTAACAGCAAAACTAGCAGAATCATGAGGCAGTAAAATAAAGAGCCAACTTCAAGAGAACATACGTAACTAATCCAGCTTGTATCGTATTATTATGAAAGGCAATGCCAACAAATTTCCAAATGTCATACCTCAGCATTGTGCTCATAACCATTGAGCGTTGTAAATTTATCCTCCACCAGTTTTTTCGTGTGCTCAATCATTTGCCGACCTTTACAGTGCATCAAATTTATGCAATCATCAAACTCTTCAAAGCAACAAAGGATAACTTTCACACAGCATAGCATCTAAAATTAACAGGCATACATACCATAGCTTGTTACACTTGAAGATATCTCTATGCAAGGTAACTGACCAACAGTAGCCCCTGTAAACCCATATACAGAATTTGCACTGACCTGGAAAGGAAGACAACTTAAAGTTAAAACACATCATTCTTAGTATTGCATGAGGGAACTGAACTATCACTCCGTTCAGAAGACAAAAATAACCATAAGCACAGGTTACCTTTAGAGCCAGCTGTCGACCATCCAGCACAGCCTTCTCTAGAGGATCTTTTGCCTCCTAAAGTAGATAAAAGCAAGATCGTTCATAAGCAGAAATAAAATGCAGAATCCTTCATAGTATATATATTACTAGAACACTACAGCTTAACAGAAGTGTTATGAATCTATGTCAGTATTTAAAAAATGAAATCAAAAAGGATACCTTCAAATCTGCTTTAGCCCTTCGACGGGCTGCTAATAACTCTTCAAGAATTTCAGGAAGTATTCCCTAAAGTAGGCAGAAATAAATTTCATTATGTCAGCACCTTAACATCACATTAAACATAAATAATTCTAAAAGTAATTGCGTTTTGATCATGGAGGAAGGGAAGAAGTAATACAGTCAATTACAGTTTACAACTGACTGACCTTCTGTAAATTTGATTTAACAAACGTTTCACCAGATGGAGTTTTGTTCACAGACTCTGGAGGCAGGTTGAGCTTGCGAACATCTTCTGGGGTCACCTTCGATAAGAATAGTGAACACAAAAGTTAACTCCCGTCATTGAGGAATTGAATTAGATTTAAGAAAAACAACTCATGTTTATGGTAGCAACTAGAGACAGGCAAAATTTACCAGAGAGCAGTAGCATAGATTATATGCCATCATAATAGATGGATACAAGGATGCAAAATCTAAAGTAGCAATTGGCTTTTCATAGAATCCAGCTCTTGCTTCCAGTACCTGCGGTGTTGAAGTTTCAAAACCATGTAAATTCTTGTAATTGATAGGCAACAATAGGGAAACTAAGACATCAAATGCAAATCGTGCTTACACTTGCTAACAAAACTCACAAGGTAAGTGCCTTTATGGCCATGAAATACAAATTATACATGAACATATTGTCTCATGGAATATGAGAGGAACAACTAACTAATAACTCTTGAGTCATGAATCAAGATATGTACAAGACTTTGAATAAATTCTGATGTTCCTTTACAGCCATGTGTCTAAATCTTGGGAGAACCACTCCCTAAAACTAGCTAGTGTGATTGTAAAGTTCAAGGTCCTAATACACTCCCCACCAGATTCCAATACATTAATGTGAGGACTCAAGCCCCATCCCTTGTGATTGGCCCCAACAGCCTGACTTAAAAAAAAAAAATGTTTGGGGGGGGGGGGACCAACCATTGGGAGAATAATACAGCATGCACCTTCTTATTCAAGTCAAAGAAATAATCCATAGACAACTTTTAGTGCATGTATTATGCATGGATGAAAAGTAGAGAACTTGTGAATATTTGCAAATTAACACTTCAAAAGAGATGAACTTACAGTGGCACCTTCATATGTTCCTTGGTCTGACCCAGCCTGTTTGACATTAGGAATAACCAAGTTCTTCTGTTTTGCCTTCCTAAGAAGTTGAGACAGTACCTGAAAGGTAAGAAAAAAGAAGCCATTGCTTTCCCAAATCCAACTCGTGATTGTTCAGCATATTTCCCAAAATATACAAGGGGGAACATAACCTTAATGCTTTGCCCTCTAGAAAGTAAAAAAGAAATCGGAACACCAGTTACTCGAGCCATCTCCACATAGTTATAAATAAACATCAATTTATCCAACAGTCGTTGAGGGAGATATGCATCCTGAAATCGAATAGCAAAATAAGAATTAGTCTCGTAAGTTTTTGTTCCATTTACTAATTATCAACTACTATTGTCCTTTGCATGCATTATCCACAAAATACAAAGCCATGTATACTATAACCGAATAAGGATTCAGTAGGGATTGCCAAATAATATTGCGTTTACAAAGTTTCTGCAGGTCAAAGAACCATTAAGTATTAAAACTTGTCAAGAGCAAGGGATGGAACTCAAGAAAATCCTTGTGTTGTTTATGGGATAGAACTGCAATATTCCATTTCACAAAGGATTAGATTAAAAAGATTGGGGAAAATCACTGTGAAGTCCCATTTAAGCATTCTAATTATCCAGAAGTCCCACCAAATGTACAAAAGAATATGAGGTCCCTTGGGACTTGGATGTAAATAAGATTTTTTGTGAATTGACCAGAATATCCCTGGTTTGTTAAAAAAAACAGATGCCCAAAAACAAAGAAACCATGGTCTACGGGAAGCATGAATACTGGAAATTAGGATGAGTAATTTGGAAACCACAGCCGAACCATAAGCTACCCATTTTACATCAAACACCTTTCTCGTTCCAATAATGGCCTCCCATTCCTCAATATCTCCCACATCCAGTACTTCATCCATGAAATTTCCTACAACCTTGAGTCCACTCTGATGCTAGTCATCAGACGGAGCAGAGTAAGCACTGCCAACTGCCACCAGCATGTGCGGCTCCAATGTATGGGAGGAAGGAAAAGGGGAATACCGGTCTAGCGCTACTCGAGCATGATCTGGGACTCATGCTCAGGCTGTTTCTGGGGCTTAAACCCTGGAAGCTAGCAGCAGAGGAAGTGGGGGATAGAAGCAGCTTAAGAAGTTGGGGCTGGAGTGAAGCTCTTGGGGGTCACAGCAGTGGGAGTTGCAGTGGCAGCAGCATGCAGCGCATTTGAAGGAGCACAGGTCACTGGGGTTGGAGGCAGAGGAGGACATGAACTCACCACAACTGTCAAGCACGTGGCTGCCAATGCTGGCAGTGTGGTTCTTGAGGCATTCCTTGTAGGACACCACCGTAGGTGGTGGTGGATGAGGCAAAGTGTGGTGGCGCTTGAGGGAGCCGCTGGAGAAATAAAGGAGGATGAAGATTTGAGGCCCATGTCTGAGAAATGGAATGGTATTTGGTGATGATTTCCCTTTTTAAAAAAAAAAATCAGAGATATTTTGGTCAATTTACAAAAATTCTCGTTTACATCCAAGTCCCAAAAGACCTCAATCATTTATGCATTTGGTGGGACTTCTGGGTGATTAGAATGCTTATAGGGGACTTCATAGTAGGTTTCCCTAAATAAAAAATATGGCATGGGGCTTTCTCTCAATGGCTCCCACTCCCCATGTTTTTCGTCTCCTGTATTATTCTTGTTTCTGCTCTTTCAGTTATACACCCTGGTAGGCAATGGCCCAACAGATGTGGTTTCATCAGCAAGTAATAATCTAGTGGCACACCATACATGCATTGAACTATAAGGATTTTAAAGACACACAAACTCCAACAAATTATGATTTTATCCATTCACACAGCTTGAAGATAAAGTGATACAAATGCTTAAATTCCTTAAACACTAAGCATTTCAAAAGTTCACACAATGTGAAGAAGTCAGAACCTGTTTGGTGCACTGAAGTCAATTTCTGAACAAAAAGAAAAAGAAATAGGAGATCGCAGAACCATGCAATAACCCTTGGTGTTGAAAAAATCTTCTCAGATTCAGTTAACGGTGGTGATTACATGCAAGACAGTGCCGTTATGGTGGCAGCATTATTGATGGCAAGAGTAGCATGGCTTCACGATGACAAAAGTAGTAGTACACAGCCAATGCTAGAGAGATGATACGATGTGATGGTGTCAAAGGTGGCATGACATGATGACAGCAGTAATGGCTTAATGGTGATGGTGATAGGAGCAAATGGATAAATTGTGTAGAAGAGTCAAAATGAGGAAGGATGAAGAGCTATTAAATACAAATAGATAATAAGCATTAAAAAGAAAAACAGCAGAAGAGGCAAGACCAACCAAGATATTTAGATTGGAACCAACATACAGACCTTCAAACAATACACAGCAAGGCGTCTCCTAGTATCTGCATTTCCATTCTGAAGATCGGATATAATTGAATGGTGAACATCCTCTTTCTGCAGTTCATGAATATGCAGTGATGTAAGCTAACAATTCACCTACAGCAATTTTTAAGCAAATGAAATATCCAGGAAAGGAAGGCGACTTGGAAGTAGCAAATGAAGATAATCCACATGTTTCAAGGGACAAAGAAAAGCTCAAGATGGAGAAAAAAATACATTGACATACAATACAATATCACAACATAAAATAATATACCACACAACAATTAACATAACACCTTAAAATAACAACTCCCTAATCCATCTCTACACCGCTACAAGCAAAAAGCCAAAGCAAAATTAGAGACAACAACAACAACAACAAGCCTTTATCCCACTAAGTGGGGTCAGCAACATGGATTGCAAGACGCCATTGTGCTCTATCATTTATTAAGCTTTTAGAAATATTATTAATTAAGAGATCACGTTCAACAACTTCCAAGAGTGTTCTCTTAGGCCTTCCTCTACCTTTCTTAATCGGACTCAAAGTTATATGTTCCACTCTTCTCACTGGTGCCTCCCTTGGTCTTATTTGTACATGCCCAAACCATCTCAATCGATTTTCTACCATTTTTTCCTCAATAGGTGCCACCCTCACTTTTTCACGTATGTGCTCATTTCGAATTTTATCTTTACGTGTATGTCCGCACATCCATCGTAACATTCTCATCTCTGCTACTCCAACTTTATGCTCTTGCTGTCCCGTTAGAGCCCAGCATTCACTACTATATAACATTGCCGGTCTGATAGCAGTACGATAAAACTTTCCTTTAAGTTTATTAGGCACCTTACAGTCACAAATAACTCCTTTAGCTTTTCTCCAATTAAACCACCCAGCTTGAATTCTATGTGAAATATCTCCACTGATTTCGCCATCATTTTGAATAATGGCTCCCAAATATCTAAACTTTTCCACTTGAGGTATAATTTGATCTCCCAATTTCACTTCCAAATTATTTTCGAATAGTCCTTTACCAAATTTACAATATAAATATTCCGTCTTACTTCTACTCAGACGAAAACCTTTCGACTCCAATGTCCTCCTCCATAACTCAAGTTTACAATTAACCTCTTCTCTTGTCTCTGCTATAAGAACTATATCATCCGCGAAGAGCATACATTTCGGGACTTCCTCTTGAATATGTTCCGTCAAAACATTTAAAATCAAGTTGAACAAATAAGGACTCAGAGATGATCCCTGATGTAATCCAATCTTTATAGGAAAATCCTTTGTTTGACCACTAGGCGTTCTTATACTAGTTTTTACCCCCTCATACATATCTTGTATGGTTTTAATATAAGCAATCCGTACTCCCTTTTTTTCCAACGCTTTCCAAAGCACTTCTCTTGATATACGGTCATAAGCTTTTTCCAAATCAATAAAAACCATGTGTAGATCTTTATCTTTACAACGATACTTTTTCATTAATCCCCTTAGTAGATAAATCGCCTCTGTAGTTGATCTACCTGGCATAAAACCAAATTGATTCTCAGAAATAATTGTCTCCAATCTCAACCTGTGCTCAATTACTTTCTCCCACAATTAGAGACAATAGAGACACATAGGGAGACAAAAGCTTTAAAATCCACTGCATTAGGTAAACACATCAATAGCTTATGCACTAAAATCTGAAACTTAATCTATGAACAATAAAAGATGCACAAAACATGGCCAACTGAATTATGGTTTGGGCCCGTTTCACTTTGGTGCCTATGGTTCAAAAGTTGACATTCTACCTCTATGAGGTTCAATTTGTCAAATTTCTCCAAAAATCATCTCCAGAACAATATTTGGAGAAATTAAGTATGCTGAATGAACACATAGGGAGAATATGGGAAGGGTGGGAATTGGTTCGGAAAAGAAGGACTAGGGATTTTAAGAAGGAATTGGAAGAAATATGAGAAAATTGGGGATGCCAAATTGATCAATAAGGCAAGAATTTCAGGAGTACAGGAATCAATTGGAAAAAGAGGAGCCGAAGATTTTGATATGAAATATGGAGAAATCAATAAATCAAATAGGATTTGAAGAAGAACCAAAAATAGAGTTTGGGGCCTGGTAGGAAAGAAAGGGATGTTAGCAGCTAGAGGCTTCAGTCTGAGTTTTTCAATCTCATTAAACTGAACTCAAGTACGGTCTTAAAGAATGAGGGTTTCTACTAATATTTACTGAAATTTAAGTACAGATCAGTCTTGTCTAACAGAGTTGAATCATACTATAAAAAAGTGAATATGGTCCAAACCTTGAGATTTACAGGAAAGTGTGGATTGCAGCTTCCACCAACAAAATCAATTAAGTCCTTTAAACTTCATAAATTATTGACTATCAACTAAAGAAAACCAAAAATTAATTGATACAATGTCAACAGAAGAATCTCACCTGCTCTGAGAGGAAGTGTGCTGAAACAGAATTCAATGAATAAGAACTCAGTTTGTAATCTCGCTGCATAGCCTGTACATAAATAGATAATTCATAATTTTTTTATTGATAAGTTGGATAAGCCAAGTACAAAGACAAAAAGAAAAACACTGTTGTAGCAGAACCTGGAGCAAGTCAAACTGAACTCTCCCTTCTATTGTAACCTCCTTGCTTTCCCTAGTCCCAAGCTGTCTACAACATCAAGGAAAGAAAACATTCAGAGTGATATAAAATAAGACTCAGCCCAAAAAAAAAAAAAGTAAAGTATAAACAAAGTGAGTCCAAAGTTTATAATCAATATAAAAGAAACAGAAGAGATGCAACTACACCTACAGTTACATTAAGATGTTCTCACTTCCACAATAGAGTCCTTATTTACATAAAGTTTATGTACTTATGACTAAGAAATAATAATTCCTTGGTTCACCAACCACAATAGCAGAAATGCAAGTTCTTTCATACCAAAAAAGGGAGGAAACAGAATTCAAGCAGCAGCTCCATAAGTAAACAAGATATATTATACTCACTGCCCCTTAAAAATATTCAAAATGGTTGACTATTTAATATAATAGAAGGATCACTGGAGAAAAGCAGAACCTCCAATCACACAAGAAAAAATACATTTACAACACTATCTTTATTGGCAGAAAAATCCATAAAATAAATAACTAATGGCAACAACTTGACAGAAGATGTTTATATCTCTTTACCTTGATGAGAAAGTTGTATCTTTTACTCGAACTCTACTGTTCCTGATGCGTCCAAGAATTGGAAATTCTGCTATTTTCAGGGCATCAGCTCTCTGAATAAGAAAAAAGAACAAATTATAGTTTAACAAAACTGGAAGGATAACCAAATGCACTGGATGTGTCTGCTAACAACCCTTAATGCCTTTTAAAAAAATCTCCAGGACAAGGAAGTAAATCACCTCAATAAGATATGGCAGGTCAAATTTGCAAATGTTATATCCAATTATAACATCAGGGTCCACTTCACGGATAAAATCCTGCCCAAAAAAATAATAAGTGAGATAAAAAGTGTGCAATAAAGAAAGGAGAATGCTCAACAATTGCATGATATCTGTTGAAAGTCAACAAACACAGCAGGGTTTTTTTAGGTCACTTATGCCATTTATTTATTTTATTTTTATTCCCTTTTATTATTTTATCCAGCCTAGGACTTGGTCACTGCTTTCTGCTATGATTTTATAAGCTTAAATCTAGATTGGATTCTCCTAGATCCTAGGCTACGCTGGCCAGCTGTGTTGCCTAGACATTTCTCTATTTAACCTAATGAATAATCAGAAAACAGTGCAGCTGATCAATATAGAGAACATAAACTTCATGGTACTAGAGCCAATTCCTTTTATACAAGTCAAAGACAAAAAAAAGGGTATCTTCTAACAACCTACTGATGGGGTTAAAAGCATTATAAATGATGTACAATATCATATACCATACAGGTCTCTATTAATAAATTAGCATATCTATGAGACTCACACTCACTGCAGCCAAAAGTAAAGATATGGATCAAAACAACTCAACCAACATGCTTTTCTAACAATGTTCAATCAACTTCAGGGGTATTATTGCAATCAGTATTCATATCCTTACTACACAACAGTTTTGATAAAATTCACAAGAATCATGAGGTTCTGAGGTGGCAAAGGTAAGATAGGGCATGAATAGTGTTCAAAGTTCAAATCATCCACGTGTAACAAAAAATAAATAAAGCAACCAAATACAAAAACAATACCCTCCATGCTAGCAGGACTTCTCTTTCTGTATCAAATGACATCACATCAGTGCCAACTATAGATGAACATGATTTAAGAGTCATGACATTACGAATAAATGGTTGGTCTTCTCCTTGCAATGTGACCAGGTTGGCAATCTAAAAGAAGAAAACAGGGCATCAATTCAAGAACATGAAGTTCATAGAAACTAGATTTATTCTTTGCGGGAGATGGACCTGAATAACAGGATCATGAGTAGGCTCCGGAAAATGGCCTTTGCGACCAGCACACTCAATATCAAAACTCAATATGCGAAAAGGAGCCATCTTTGAAAAATCCCCTTCTGGTGCATAGCTAATCAACTCAGAATACCTAGAACATTGTTAAGGGAGCAGAGAAAAAACCAAAAGTTTCATGAACAAAATACGATAGTGCTTTTGAGGAGAAAACAAGTAATAATGTCTCATGAATAAGGATACAGGCAGTCGAACTCTAATTGGCAATAAGACAAGTTCTTTGCTGTCTTCTTGTATTTTCCAGCAGGTATTTCAATCCAATTTCCACCAACTATATTGCAATCAATCATGAAACGAAGGGCAAACAGAACATTGCTTTCATATGTCATAAAGCTCTTCATGCCAAGGCCATCAATCTGAATGCCTCTGTCAAGAATACCTGCCAAAATTTTAAATTTTCATATTAAACAAATAAACTCACAAAGAACCTGCTATTTACAAAGATGACAACAAAAAACAACATAAACCGAAGCATGAGTGTCTAGATGGAAGAAATAATACCACACTTACTCTGTTATGCAGACCACAGTCATTCCATAAAAATCATAATAATTCATGAATTTATGACCAAAGGCAATAAATAGTGCAGCATAAAGCATCTTTCACATAATAACCCATTTTAGTATGCAATGAACTCGCACAAGTGTTATATTACAAATACTATAGATAATGTCTAACTTTACCTCTACAACTGGCAACCATTGTCGGTAGTGCAACTACAATTTTCAAAAATGGCTGGGTGTTCTGCTGCTGATAGTGCATAATACTCTTTCTCTGCACCATTTCAATACGACGAACAAATTGTGGCACTTTACTGTTTCTATTGGATTCTTTCATCCTCCCCTGGTGCATCCAAATCATGAAAATAAATGAAGGCAACTTATAAACAGAGCATAATGTTTCCCTTCAAATAATAAACCGAGTACCTCAAGGATTTTATGAAAACCAGAAATATCATCTGGTCTCATTCCAGGAGGGCAGTTGATGTAGAAATATGGTTCAAATCCATGAACATTGCAGCAAACACTATGTCCTAACAAACAAACAACATAAGAATGTGTTTCCACGATACATAATTAAAGGACAAACTCATTCAGTACAATAGTTAAATTCTCAAGCCAGAATGACTTACACAGGCTTTTTTTTTTTTTTTTGAGGTCACAAATACCTGAGTGTTTAGAGAGAACAAAATGAAGCTACAAATGGTTCATGCTTTCAAGGATGATATATAGACGCATTTTTATTGATAGATGTGATTGACAGTCTTTCATATAGCTTTCACACGTTAGTCACTTTGAAAAATATTGTAAATTGTGAAAAAGATTCCGTTTCAGGTAATATATACAAAAAAAAAAAAAAACACACACACACACACACATAAATGTATTCAGGGCAAAAATGTGAAATAACCAATATTCCTTGTTTTGAGGTATTGATCGCATTATATAAACTTCAAAACTACAGATGATGAAATTAAGACGAGATGATTTTTATAGTTGTGGTTTCTAAGTCTAGATTTGGCGCCTAAACTGAGTTTATTTTCAAATGCACAAAATATGACAATGCAAGTGCCTTAACTAGAAACAATGGCAAAAGTCCCTCGAGTATAAACAGATAAATCTCCAACTGCTGCCTTCGATTCCTTGAGCAAAAATTATTCAATCTGAAGAAACTTTGATAATGATCTAACCTTCCTTCGTAACTCCAAATATTCTAATAATAGCGGCTGCTCCAGATGAATTTGGCAACAATTCTTTATGACTCTCCCCGATGACATAATCTATCTCCAGCTGCTGAAAAACTAAAATCCGAATAGAAGAAATGATGAAACTCCACTGAGATAGAACCAAAACCTAGGAACTCGGCACTGGGAAATTCTCAGAAACTGTGAAGTTGCAAATACTCACGAATGCTACAAGATTGTGAAAGGTAATCGGAGGACAGATGCGGACGAGTCCATTTGGCAAAGCGAGAAGCGAGGGCCTGGCGTTGCTCAATGTCACGGAGGATGAGGGTCTCTTCGTCTACAGGGATAAGGGTTTCGTCAAGGAAGACATCCTCATCGACGAACTCTTCTTCCTGGGAGAATGCTTGACTCTTAGGCTGGTTAGCCGGAGGGGGTTGCGACGGCGGCGGTGGGCGTTTTCGGGTGCCGTTGTTCATGGCTGTTTACAGATGCTTTTTTTTGGGGGGGGGGGGGGGGGATGGTGACAGTGGAAAGGGGGGAGCCTTGGAGAAATGAGATTCCCGCCAGTTTTTGTTGGGGGATTTGCTCGTTCCCGCCGGGTTTTCCCGCGACTGCGAGCAATTTTACTGCTCAGGCCCAATCCGTGAGGATCTGCTGTATGGGTTATTTGGGTCGCTCGGCATAAATGTTAAATTACCTTCAATACGGGATAGCTGTGAATAACTAAAAACAAAAACAAAATTTTTTATAAAAATAAGCATAATGAATTTTTAAATCTTTCATGTCTAAATTATTAATTTAGTTGTTTAAGTTTGATCTAAAAAGAATACATACATACGCCTATATATATATATATGCTTCGTGTATATGTGTGTGTAATACAAGACATTGTTTTAATTGGCGGGTTATTGTAGAGAGTGTGTTCTTGAAAAATATGAACTTTATATATTCCAAAAGCATGTAAATATCTAAATAGTTCGTTGTAGATGCTTGGGAAGATTTTTTTTTTTTTTGACCAGCTTGGGAAGAGAATTAGAGACGATGAATATAAAGCATAAACCATATAGATTATATATCATCAAGTTCATTTCTATCATCCATTAAATAGCCATGAAAATCATAGAATCCAGGAAATGTTTATTAATTATTCTATTCCTTCTCGTTTGTATAAGATCTAATACTTCAATAAGTTAATAGCTTCACTGTCTTGGACTCCCTCCCTTCTACCAGTTTTGTTAATGTTCTTAAGAGTTTTACTAACTTAGATGTGTATGATTAAGAGAAGAATTGAACACCGTGAGATAGCTTAAATGGCATGATCCCCCTTAATGCAAGGGGTTGGTCAATCCCCCAGTAACTCAAATTTGGCCAACTAGTCAAAACCATAACATTTTTTATTATATTGCCCTTATTATCCCAACATATAATCAAAATTGTCATGATAATATGGGACTAGCCCAATTGATTACCATTCAAATAGCAACATATTTTAACTATGGTTATATGAAATTAACCATAATGGACAAGAAAATACTAATTTAAAGGTTTACTATGATTAAAATATTCAAAAGTTAAAATCAACAAACTATAAATCAAATGCACACTGCTATATAATTTATAAACAAGTAATTTAAACACTTTAAAGATCTAATCAATCAAACTTGTATTGAATCATAAAAGTAACAAAGGCGAGATCTTAAGTTTAGATCATTAAACACTTCAAAACAAAGAGAAAACTATTTTAAATTAGAGTTATAATATATATGAAAGCATGCGATACTAATATACTTAAAACTTTTGAAAATAAGGTTGAAAACTTCAAAAATTCACAAAGTGGGTTGTGTGCCATAGTGCATTGCACAACAAGTGACAACAACAACTATCAATTTGATAAATTAAAGGCCAAACTTTTTACACACCCTAAATATTTGTCCGATGTCTGATTGATGACATTTAGATGTTCATAGAAAACTCTTTCAATGAACTAATTAATGGCACTAGTTTTGTGTCTAAATTAATTCATATCAAGGAGATGGATACCCAAGCACAAACCATTCATATTTTCACACTGAAATACAACTAGGGTGTCCCAAGCTTAACTAATATGCCAAAAGTTCAACCTAACACCTAAATCACATTCAATAAACTCAAGATAGCATATGTAACACACCATATCATACCAATATCACATATAACACTATTTAAATCCTCAACCCCTTGATTTTAAAAATAACAAAGGGAGAAAATCAATATCAAATATCATCATAATATATTATAGTCATGCATAGAGACACATATATATGCACCAATATTTAGGCCCTGCCAAATACCTTAAAATTATACAACTCATACATCAAGGCCCAGAATATAATTTTCCAATTAATCATATAAATAGTGTGAGTATATAACAAAATATGCTATCCTAGTTTGCAATATCAAATTAGATTACACATATATAAATCAAAATATAGAAGCATTGCAGTACAAACAAATATTCCGATGCCTTTAGTGCTTTTTCTTTATCATACCCGAAGCTAGTGCTGGTAAAATATCAAAAGAGGGGTGCACACAACTACTCAATAACAAGGCAATGCAATTAATGCACATGCAAGTCAACTAATCATAGAAAATGCAAAGTGACATACACACATGTAACACAGTGATGTTCACATCATATACCATCATAGTCATGATCTTTTCAACCATGTGACAATGATAAATGAAATGCATGATCAATGACCTTCAAATACCTCTGACTAAAACCATGAGCTATTAAAAAAATAGGGTTGCATCCACATGGATAAACTAACCCAAGCTCTTAATCATGAGGAGCTATTTGATCGAAGATTGCTACACTTGCTTTCGAATCCCAGTTTTCCCTATTATCAAACCCTAAGGTGTCATCAACCTTGAACTAGTCTCATCAGGAAACAAATGAAGATGAGTTAGGTTCGAGTCTCTCAACAAATAGTGAGATAAGTAGCTAGCCTTCAATTTTCAGAGGGCAACTATATCACATGGATTTATACCACTCCTCCCCAAGGCAACCTCCCGCCAATCGTGATTATACAGTAGACATCGTAAACACGTAGCATGCCAATATTCATCTCCTCATGCTCAAGCACAATTTAACATATTACACACCATGGTCAACAAAATCATCATCTCATTATAAGTTATCATTTAATCTCATTTTACTCAAAATCACTTCAACTAACAATTTCAATGCCACAGTTGCAATTATAATCTCTAAAGAATAACCCGTGCCAGAATAAATATGAAAGCAAGTTCACAAATTCAAAATGTATTAAAAAAAACTATAATCAATACGCACAAGTTAGATCTCTCTGAGTTACCTTAAATTTTTGTGAAGTCAGAGGTTACCCTTCAATCACAATTTGTTACCTAAGCCAGTACCAAGCTCGGATAGTGTTCCAAGTAGTTAATCTACAATTAACAACGCTATCTATCATTAACATCACTAATCGTGTACCTATAACTTCCAATTTCAATACTGTAATCACCCATCAATCATAGCCTCTTATATTTAGTTGTAATTGTTAGGTATATCAACTCTTATTAGTTCTAACTAATTTCATTATGCCCAGCAACTACTACTAGTTGCTTCCAACAAGTATAACTATCACATTTATTACACTTTATCTTCTCATTTTATTTCATAAATGAGAGCCTACTACCAAACCATTACCTCTAGGTTTATATAACTCAAATAACTTCCATTGGCTCAATCTAAGTTGATAGGTTTGGATCTAAAATTTTAAGGTTTGAAATTCACTTTCCTATGGCAAACCCTAGCGATAAATTTAGTAAGACAAGAAGGGAAAGGAAGGTTGGAACTTACAAGACTTACATGAAATGATTAAGGCTCTAAACCTTCTCCTAAAAGCCAAGAACTTGTGCCCTAATAGAGCTACACGACTGCTCTCTGTCTCTCTTTACTCCTTCTTTATGTTTTTGAATGTTGGTATATCTGATTTAATCAAAAAATTGACTATCTGCCATGGCCATGGGCCATCCACCGCTTTGAATGGTATAGAGAAGGCAAACTTGTGTTTTGTTCATTCATTGGGCCTATGCGGCCCAATTCCACTTCGACTCAGTCTAAAAATTACAATAAAAGCCCAACAAGTTCATTAATCCTTTTAACATTAATATATAAATAAATTTTAAGGATGCTATATTTTACACAACAATCCAAACTAACAAATCACAAGCATCGCGAACCAACGTGAATATAACTCCTAAGCATTCAAATTCAAAATTCGAAAGACATGAGCATCATCCAACCAAGTAAACATAATTATTGAACATTCAAGTTTAAAATCTAAAAACTAATTACCTAAAGTCATATTTATCCTATCCATGTTGCATAATGTCTCACCCTATCCACTAACAATGATTGTAAACAATAATAGCCAGCATTGGTTAGTAAGTGAGAGCAAGTGAGAGTTTTGCTACACGTGATGGAATTTGAAGCGATACACTGCATATATACAAGAAAGACAAATAGGGTGCAAAAGCATGTTACACTTTTTTTTCATCTTGATTTATTGAGTTGTGAAAAATAGGAAAAAATTGGCGGACAAGTGAATCTCTTCCCCTCCATCAGGAGGCATTTTAAAGATCTTCTCACAAAACCAGCTGCAGGTTGCAATTTTGAATGGATTTTTGTTTGAGAATCAAATCAAAACAGGAAAAAATGTTAGTTCTAAAAAGGAAAGATGGCACAAGGACAAATTTTAAGAATGGAGAGCAACTGGTTCGGAAAGGGATTAGAGGAAAAATAGGTAAGATTAGCAAAAAGATGCACATCTTAACTCAAAACTTTAACATTTAAGTTTATAGGTCTAGCGGGACTTCCCGTGTTGTTTTAAGTCCATTCATGCTTGGATAAATAACATAACAATCTCCTCTCAAATGTGAGTCCACAAGCTCCTAATGTTAAAGGTGTCTTGGACACTAAGTCCTTACTCTTGGGACAACACAATTCTTATGAATTTAAATGGTACAACGTGCACAAGTCCATGCTTAGACTTCAAACATGTGTGTAAGAAATGGGCTTTCAAGTCTTGGATAAAACCGAGCTCGAATACCATTTGTTAGGAATGGGGAGCAATTGCTCGGGAATGGGGAGAGGAGAAACGGGCAAGAATAGCAAAATGACACTATATCTTAACTTAAAATTTAAAGACATAAGTCTAAAAGTCATTATTATTTATTAGTCATTAACTCCAACTTTATTTAATGTGAGAAATCTCAGGTCGTGTCTATTCTACTTACAATGAATAACCTAACAATCTCCTATTCAGTGCAAGTCCATAATAACAAGCCTTTCATATCAAAGATACCCTAAAACACCAATCCCTACCTTAAGGTCAGCCTTTTTTTTTCAGGCATGGAGCACACAAGTCTCTACTGTAGCTATGGCTAATCCTATTTTGGGATTTAAGTGCATGCATAGTAGTAAGCTTTTAGATCTCGGATAAAACCTAACTCTAATATCACTGGTTAAAAATGGAAAGTGATTGCTAATTGTTAGGCTGTTCAAGTATAAGTGAACTTAAAATGACATAGTAAGAACCTATAAACTTGAGTTTTGAGATTTTAAATTAAGATGCGGCTTTTTTCGTTAATCTTGCCTATTCCTCATCTTTCTTATTCTCAGGCAGTTAGCCACTCTCAATTCCTAACAAGTGTTATCAATATAAAATAAATTCATTATGTTTATTCAAATCCTTGTGAGTTATATTTATTCATCATACATATATTTATAAGTTGCTTCGTTTTTAACAATTCAATTAATCAGTTCTTTAGCACTATCTTAAAAAGAGACCTTGATCAAATTCAACAAATCAAAGGCCATCTTTAATCTCTCACTTATTCTCTGAAGTATGTATATACAAGAAAGTCATGAAAAAAAAAAAATAATCATATCATATTAACAATTAAATCCTCGCCTTTCCATTATTTTCCTATGGTAATTAGGATGCTTGCAGCTATTAAAAGTAGGACTGGCGGCCGGATGATACTCCGGCGGGAGCCTTCCGGACTTGAACCTCATACCACACGCATTGCACAGTGTCTTGGGCCCCTCAGGCCCATACCTCCATTGTGGCGTCTCCTCCGTTTCGCAGTGGCTGCACCTCTTGCTGTCCATCCCCACCGACCGTGGCGTCGTCCTCTTCCTCGACCTTTTCTTCTTCTTCGTAAAGCTGCTTACTGCGTCCCCATAAATTCTGACCCAATCTTCATTCACAGCTCCATTCTCCACAAGTTCATATGTACAAGGCTGGTCACTCCCAACACAAAACGAGCCTTTTTGGTTCCAACTAATAAAATCTTCGGAGAAGCTGGGGAACCATTCCCATTCCAAGCCTTCTAACGAGTCAGGAGGCACACACAGTTGGCTCTCTGAAACTTCATGAAGACTGGGCAAAATTGACGAGTCTCCTGGGTCGTGAAGGTCAGTAAAATCGAAGCAGTCCTCACCAACTGTCATTGATTATATCTACTCTAGCTTTGGTACAGGGTGCTTACATATTAGTGTAGAGAGGAGGGTGGGATATGAACAAATTTAAAGCGGTGATGAGGTACCTCCAAGATGGGGTTATCAATATTTGCTTTGTTGAGAAGTTTGTCTTGCGATACGATGATAATATAGAATCCGCTAGCCCATAAAATAAAATAAAAAACAAATAATGAAATCCACGTAAGCACGATCCAACGAAAGACCTTTTGTCAGATTAACGTGTAGTTACGTGACAATTCAATGCTATGCAGCTTTTCGTCGGTTCAAGTGACACCATATCTCCTGGCAATCTGGCTGCTACTCCTTTATCAGTATTTGTTTTAAATTTAAATTGAAAATATTTTATAACAAAACGATCTTTCTAGAAGGTGGCACTGTTTGAATTTGGGATTCATTTCTCACATTGTTAATAAAGCGGGTGGCCTTTTACTGTATCAGGAGTGAAATCAATATCATGGACTTGCATATAAAATCTAATTATACATGCCCTTATCCACCGTGATTATATTTCAGGCCCAAAAAAATCTACCGTGATTACATGACATATATTATATTAAGTCTATTCATAGTGATAATAATTAATTACTACTCCTGATTAGCGAAAAAGGGAGTATTAGTCAATGCATATAACAATATATAAATTCAAAATAATAATAACTGTAATTATAATTAGATTTTACTGGCAAAAAATTTTGACTAGATTTTATAATCATTTCATGCTATATCTTCCTTAAACTTTAATTCCCCTCACCTTTTTTATTTGAATTGTCGTTTGGAAGGTGTAAATCGCAATTCGCACGTTGTGAAGGAAAAAATCGCATATTCTTTATGCTGGCATACTTATTTACTTGATATAAAATCAATCTTATGATTAACCTAGGTTGGCCGTGGGTAGGGTTATGCAAGAGTCTTTCAATTCTGTCTGATCTAATTTAATTTGAGATAGTCTCAGTCTTGTTCGATCCGTATAGACAATGGTCCTTCAGGATCAAAAAAACTGAAAAGACCAGACTATTTTTTCGGGTTGGACTGGAAAGACTAGACATTTGAACTGTAGTCCAATCCTATTAATTTTTTTATTATAATTATAATTAATTTATTTTTAACAAATGTTTGAAGTGTAATTGATGCTAAGAAGATAATTGTATAAAGATTTGTTGAATTTGTTTCCAAATTGTTGTTGCAATGTAATGTTATTGAATTTTATTGAGTGCCGTTTTTGTTAAAGTTATAAATTTAAATTATTTGGACTATAACATAAATATTTTTTTCTTATTATTGAAAATTATTATGAATTTATTATTATAAATGTTTTTACTATATTAATTGAGTTTATTATGTTAAAATGGATTATTGCCTCTCATAGAATAAAAAGAGAAAAAAAAAGCTAAGTGAGTACTGGACTGACATGACCAATCTCATAGTCTTATGGACCAACTCCAGTTTTGTTAATTTTTGAGTTATTACTGGATAAGATCGAACTACGGGTTGCCCAACCTAATTTTTTTTATAAAAGAGACCGAACTTCAAATTAAGGTAAAGTTTAATACCGTCCTACTTTTTATGCAGCCCTAGCCGTGGGTGCTTTTTATAGTTATTTATTATTGTCTTCTGAGGGCTGGCCGTTTCATAAAAATAAAAAAACGGTTGGTATTCCGATTTTACTTTGCCTTCCATTTGTGAATATATTTTATTTCTCACTTTAGAGTTGGTTTTCTCTCTTTTTTTGGTCGAATCACTCTAGAGCTTCGTTGCATTTTTAGTTCAGTTAGCTTATTATATTTAGACATAAAATCCTATGACTTGAAATTAGAAATGGGAATTGGTATGGAGCCTTATATGCTTATTTGTACTGACGCTCAAATTCGCTTTGTATGAGTAATATTCTCAAACTACATACCCAAAAAAGGGGGGGAAAAAGAAATCTTAGAATACCTAATCATCACAAAGAGAACTCTAATTTTAAATTTCAATCCTCATTAAATAAAATAAAGAAATACAGGACATGTTTGATTCTTTTTTTTTAATATGAAAATATATCATTTGAGTAAGTATTTTGAATTTAAATGTTTTTAAAACTATTCTATTTAAAAAAATTGAAAATAACTGAGAGCTTTTTTTTTAATATACACTATATTTTATTTTTATAGATTAGTTTTTGTCATAGTCAACTACTATTATACACATAATCATTAACAATTAATGACCATTTTTAAAATTATTTTTAAATTAATATAATCAAATGGATTTTAATTTTAAAAATTAATTTTTAAAAATTGATTTACAAAATAGTTTTTAAAAATAAAAATAGAACAAAACTAAACAAACCATATTACACCCTTTTTACTCATCCAACGACCCTCCTCGGACCTGGGCATATTATCCATGTCGATTGAATCAGGATCACGTTGTATAACAAAAAACAGAATTACTAGCACATGAGTATTATTTATTATCAAAGAGTGCATTTTTGAAATGATCTAAAACGTTTTAATTAATGCATAGATTAATCTAAAAATTTTTCATCAGCTATCAATCGAATTCAACTCAAGGCCATGGAATCGGTTATCAATTCTATATTTCTCTTTGCCCCTCGGCAATTTTAACATAGGCCACGTTTTAGGCACATAAACTGTGGTAACATTGGTAACATGTCCACCATTGAGAATCCCAATTACTTTCAGGCTTCATTGCAGCAACGCACACCAGGAAAAAAAAAAAAAAAACCTCGAACACCCACCTCTGGTACATCACGGAAGAACCTTCCTCTTGATTGATCTTAAGCTAAACATTTCTATCCCCCAGTGAACATGAAAATTCGCCTCTGATCCGTCACGGAAGAACCTTCCTCTTAATTAGTCTCAATTTCTAGCCCCCAATGTGTGAACATGAAAATCCACCTCTGATCCATCACACACGAACGTGCTCTTAGTTAGCCTTAACCTCACAATTTATAACCCCCAATGAATGATTAAAAAAATGGAAGATGAAAAAGAAATTTGATGCTTCTCGTTCGCATTCACATAGATGCCTGCATCGAATCCCAGTTCTGGGCCACATTCTATATACATTGTCGCTTGTATTTTGTCAATCTGCTTGCTCGCGGGAGGGGCGTGCCTTGCATCGTACTTGCTCCTTCCTGAATCTGAGAACTCGTCCTCGCTAGCCGTTGCAGGGGTGATATTGGTTTGCCTTCCATGGGCGTTTTGGATAGTCACATTCTTATACCGAGTCTTGTCACGTACGTTTGGGTTTAGACTTGGAGCTGGTGGGGCGGCTAACTGTGGAGGAGGAGGTGGTGGGAATTTCATCGATGTCCCTAAGAATGCCAATGCAGGATCTGGTGAAGGGAATGATCAAGGTGGCCCTAATGGGTTGAATAGGGCACTATCTGTTACTTCCCATGAGAGTGAAATGCCATTGAATAGCTAAATGGCCTCGTGATTGTATTTGGATTTTGGCTCCCACTTGCGGCACCTACTTTTGCTGCCATTCAGGGGAGGCAATAAAGCCATTGCCCATTTCTTAATTTCACATGTTTGTTGTGATGGTTGGCCCATATGGTTGTCATCTTGAAGATGGCCTGCTCTGAATTATTAGTGCCTTGCAGTTTACACCTCCAGGACCTGGTTAAAAAGACTACGGGAATGATATCTATTCTAGACTAGAAACTGGAGTCCCCTTTTATTCAAAAAAAAAAAAGTATTTGAAATCTTCCATAAAAAAGGGGGATCGATGCATGAAACTTGTTTATTTTCAGTTTTTCAAGAGTTATGATTTGGTGGCCAAAAAAAAAAAAAAAGAATTGGAATTCTTCAGAGGATATGTTGAGCTGGAGTCAGAACTTTCAGCTTTATCGTTATTGTTGCCGAGGCAACACAACTCGCAAGAAAGTTTTAGCTAGGTAGATATCAAATAGCACATTTTCTCATAATTCACATAGCACAAATTTCAAGAGCTCTTTCTTTCCTGGTCCAAAAATTTGAATAGCTCTGTTTATGTTAATGAGTTCAGTTTCATACTTTCTCCTCCCATTCTCAGATCTCGGGCCATGAGACGTTTATATTACTCATTGTTAGAACATTACTTTATTAATTAAGGGATACTTTGTTCGATTGGTCGAAATAGTCGAATCAATTTATCCTCCAGGATACTGAATGGTTGAATCAAGAAAAAAAAAAAAAATTTACTTCGAATCAATTTTCTCTGGAGAGATGCAATGCGAAATGCATATCTCTTGCGCAACTTGATCGAAAATGCATTCCAAATTGGAAAAGTGCCTACGTATGCGTTCCAACAAATAGAATATGCTTAGTGACTCACTAGTCTTACTTTAATTTTCATTAGACATGAATCACTGATGACCAGTATAGACATAAAATCTCGAGTCTTGAAACCATGATATGATTCACTATGGATTCGGCAGGGTGTCAATTCGCCAAGTTTGCCCTCGCAAACGTGCTCCTGCTGACGGACCAAATGGCCGGCTTCGCGAATGAATTTGCACCCTAAACATTGCAAAATACTAAAACCAGAGTGATACATGGCTTTCACTGAAACTATAGACACGAATCTAGGTCAATAAAATGAAATTGTTATGCCACTAATTCACAGGAACAGAGCAATAATGTGAACTTTAACTACTTCACAGGTAATCCAAGAGATAGTCCACTCCAAAATTTTAGCTTTATCGTTATCAAATGCAAGGAAAAAGGGGCACAAGAGCTCAGTAACCAAAGAACTAATGCTAAAAGCTGTATAAACTATTCAGTTTGTTGACATTTTGGGCGGGGCAACGCAATGAACAGATTATGTTAGAATTTCACTAATCAGCTTACATGCCCCACATTGGGCAAAATAAAAGATATTGGCAGTACGTTAAGTGTTGAGGCACTTTCACATAATAGATTAGAATAGCCTTACGAAATGAATTCTCCTCCTGACTCAGGTTAAAGCAACCGGTATCCTAACCTTTCCTGTGGTCCTAATTGCAGTCGTGCGATGGCTCTTGCAAGCAAAATTTATTTATTTAATTTTTTTTGTAGAACTTATGTATGCCCTAATTTCCGTTATAAATGGTACCCCCTTGATCGAAGTTGAACTATTCTGGTCGACTTGATTCATGCTTTAGGTGCTAAGATTCACAAGCAGTTTGGAGGATAGAACTACTGTAACCACTCTGACGATAAAGCGCATAAGCTTCCTCGCTAGCTGTTGTGTTAGTGAAATTCACTAGCAGTCTGCTATGTATTTCTCTTTTTTGGTTTTTCTTAATAAAGTTTTCTATCCAAGGAAAAAAGGAAAAGGCTAAATCAAATTTGAAGACACGTTTAGCTGAATGGTAGAAAGGATATCTTTTGTTTGTTTTTCTCAGCCCCCATCTTCATTTTAGACCACTAGTTTATTCCATTTCACAAGCCACATCTGTCCATGGTTATCATGTCTTGGTGTTTGTTTACTAAATTTTATTCATCAAGAGCATAAGACAACCCAACCTTCACGATGAGGGGTTTGACAAATAATTAAATCAGCTCAATGCGAAAGAATCTCCATTCTATCAATATTTTCAACCTTTTCAAGATGTTCCTTCATTGAGTTCCTGTAAAGAATTCCCCCCCCCCTTACATCTAACTCAGTATCTGGTATTTTGTTAAGTGCACTTCTGAAATGAGGTCCAATCTGAAAATGATCCTCAGTTGATATTTAATTTTACAAAATGAAAAATGTCATAAGTTCCCTCATTCAAAGATAAATGATAGCAGAAAACTAATAGCTAGCTTTGGCCTGCAAGCACGACTCTGTCAATGCAAGCTAAGCATATTTGAGTAAGCTACTTTACCATGGCTTGATCAAGCCTTGGATTATAAGGACAATGAAAAAAAAAACAAGAAAAGAAAAAGAAACGAGAGGAAGTTGTGGTGCCCAACCTGCTTTCCTCCTCACTGGATATTTTAAATCATGCAGACATCACAGCTCACGCTCCACGGTTGGGGCAGACATTAGCAAAGTGAGACGGATCCCCACACACAAAGCACCTTCTACCAGATATAGGATCACCAGTTGCTGAAACAAAAGTCGCTGTAGCAGCATGAGGTCCATTCCAGCTCCCTCTACCTCGGCCCCCATTTCTGCTAGCATTAGATGTTCCAATACTATTTGAGCTAGTCACACTTCCTCCTCCAGTGCTATTATTGAGGTTATCCTCCCATCTGTGGGAAAAAAAGTAAAGTACTAAGGGCTTGTTTGTTTTCTGTTTTTAGAAACTATTTTTTGTTTTTGAAAATATAAAAATTTGCTTGGATAAATGTTTTTCATTTAGTTGTTTTCAAAACTGTTTTCATTTTTTATTTTAAAAACAAAAAAATAGAAACAACTTCAGCCTGTTTTCATTTTTATTTTTCTTGTTTTTAAAATATGCTACATTTGATTATTAGAAATTATAATTACCTTAACTAATTTCTATTATTAATCACCATAATTAACTATTTATAACCATTATTATCAATCCATTTTTTAATTCTAATACTGTTTTTTAATTGACATAACCAAATGGATTTTTATTTTATTTTGCTTTAAAAATAATTTTAAAAACTGTATTACAAAACAGTTTTTAAAAACAAAAAATGAAAATAGAAACCAAACAAGCTCTAAATTTCTATGAATTTCTGATCATGCAACACTTAAGACAGATTTAATTCAATTGCATGTAAAGCAAAGGGAATAATGTTGAAATGTTAATCATTCCATTCCCCTGTCTAGTCACTTGTCATAAAAATTTGACCAGTAACAATGCTGTTGTTGTGAAAATAATTTTCCGTAAATAAGCATTGACAAAGCTCCCCTCCTCCCAAAAAAGAGAAAGGAACTGTTTACACTACGCACTACAGAACAAGTCCAGTAACTTCCACTGATTGAAAATCTTCAAGATTTCCAACAAAGTGATTCCATCTCAAAAAACTACAACACGATCTTTCTTTACTTTTATTTTTTTCTTTAAAAAAAAAAAACCAAAGATCACAAATTCACTTACACAAAAAAGTTGCACTCCTGAGATGGACACGTGTAGAACTTCCTTCCCCGGTTATTTGATGTATTTGCAGTTCTCAGAATACATGGTATTCCACACGTATTGCATGAAATAGAAGCTTCCCCTGCAACATTAGAAGGTTTTCAAGAAGCCATGCCTAAAAATTCGACCTTTAAGGAGGCTACATTGAAAATAGAAGTAACACAGAATCCCAAGGATTCTAAGAGTTAATAAACTTCCATTTTTGCAGAATGAGTCAGTTCTAAATGTTAACATCCCAACAAAATCTATTTAAATGCATAGATATAAATTATAACCTAGGAAGAAGCAGGAATATGATACAAAACTCAACAAAGCATTAGCAATTAATGCTTTGGGCAACATGATTATAATCTATTGGCTTATCATGGATAACGTAGGTTGATTTGGACCACACGGATTGTTTATCTGGGCAGGCAAGTTGGATAAAGTATCACCAGTAATGCGTATCTCTAAGCCATCACAAAGGGAAAAAAAAAAAAAACCGAGGAATATCTTTCAGACTGTCTATACTGGAAAGAAATTTATACAACTGCACGTATCATTACCACTCTGTTGGTTCATTCCACGATGTCGAGCATTTCTGAAGCCTGAAGTATGTGAAGGACAATCATTGGAAAAATGTCCTGTTTCTTGACAGTACATACAAACTGCATGCCTCATGTTAGTCTGGTGAGCATTGCCGGGAGGTGCAGTTGATCCTCTCCCTCTTGCTGGAGAAGATGGTAAGCTACTACAATCATAATTCTCATTTTTTTTTCATGAGAAAAATGGAAATGGCAGCACAAAAAGAATAAACGAGCAACGCATCACTCATTTGTGGCCAAGCATTTTCTTAAACTTGTTTTTTTCTTGAAGATCAAGATGAAAAAGCTCCATATACAAGAATCTTGCTCTTAGAAAATACAAATTCAAGATAAAAAAATTTCCAAATACAAGAATCTTGTTCTTAGAAAATACAAATATACAAGTCAAATTTCATGGTCTCATTTAAAAAAATTTCCAAACACAAGAATCTTGTTCTTATAAAAGGTTTGTCAAAAACACTGAAACTGGATTAAAACTGCCATATGCATATTTATTGCCTGATGAGTTTTGTGCATGAGAAACATACAAATATTATTCACACATTGGTTTGATCAGACCTAATATAAATAAGGAAAAAAAGATGCTTAGAGGGTGTTTTGTACATGGAAAGCAAAAGCTTTTGATCTCCGTAGCAAAAAAATAAGATATGTAACATACATCATACCTCGTTATCATCATTTAACAGTAATTGTTCTTTTCTATTACTACTACTGCTACTATTTATTTATTTATTTATTCAAGGGCACAAAGAACATTTCCAAACTACAAAACCACCTTTTCTCTTTCCATTTCCTTTTCCGTCACATTCTTATTTGCATACCAAATGACCTCCAAGTTCAGTATACATAATTATGTACCTGGTACACGAGGACCAGTGCCACAGATTTCTGTCAACTGCGTGAGAATCTCATCACAGCCACCAATGCAACCTATCACACGTATTTTAGAAAAGTAAATGTTTCATTTGAAAAGTCTTAATCAAATCCTTAAATATCTTCATTTACTTTTGTTCCTGACTTCCTGGAGCTAACAATTAAGAGGCCTGTTTGTTCAAAAAAGAATCAATCTCGAAAAATTAAGTAGACTAAAAAAAGAAAGGTAGTTGTTAGTGTCTTAAAACTTTTAAACTCAATTGTTTCATGCATAAATAAAAACTATTGTGAAAGGACAACTCTACAAATCTGGTAACAAGCCAATTCATCGTTAGAAATTAGAATGTAGGTGCACCTACCCAAATGGTTGACATTGTAGTTTGGTGGTATTTCCAGTTGGCGAAACTTGAATTCAATCAGGTAAACAGGGCCTATAAATGTTATATTATACCATCAGTGAAGAAAACAAATTCTGAAACAAGAATCAAAATGACTCATTACTTTACATGCCACACGGATAAACAAAAAATATTTTGTGGGCTGCCTATTCATTTTACAATTCACGAACCAGGGCTGCAAGAGTTGCAAATATTGGTGGTCACAGTTGCTTCTGATACTGATCTTGGGAGCCAGACAGCATTCCTACACTGAGCAAAAGGTCAATGTTCTTTTAGCATCAGTTAGCCAAGAGAGAGAAAGGGGGGTGGGGAGGGTGTGGCAAGGGGAGAGATAGCCAGAGTGAGCTTTCAACACTTAATTGCAGAAGGGACCAAAAAGTAAGGAGAAGGTTTAGCACTAGCATATATTGAGTGCTGATGAGTGACAAATACTTACAAATGCATTCAGAATTTTATCTGAGAAAGCAAATGTGCCAAAAAGACAAAATTCACATGAAATATTTCAAATAAAAAGAAACTAAAAAACTTTGAGGAATTAACTTCAGAGCAAACCTTCATCAATGCAATATGGAAGAAAAGAACATTTTAACATGAATCAGATCAACGAGGAATTCAGCATCCATAATTTAGGTGAGACCAAATAAAAAATAAAGTTAAAGGAATCGAACAAAATACTAGTTATGACTTATGACTAAGGGCATAGAAAATGATCAACCAAGTTGATTAGGCACTGCACACAACAATAAAGAGAAACAAACACGGAACTTGATGGAGTCCCTAAGTTATGGGAGAGGAATTCATGTTCAGAATACATGCATCATAATGAGGAGATACTTGAATCATAGGATAATATAATTCTCGTAAAAACTGACCAAAGATCATGAGAGCAAATACTAAGGCAGTCCAAATGTAATGTCATGTCTATAGTATAATTATCACCCTTCATTTCTCCGTGATAATTTCTTTCTCTAAAGGAACACCATCCCCGGTCTACAAATTTGCAAGTTACTTGTGGGAATATTTGTCATTTATTGTAAATATAGTCCCTACTGTATAGCCTTTATTTGTATTTATTACGCTTTATTAGTAATTATTTTTCCTTTGTATATATAGCCAATAATATGTATCTGATGTGACTCTACTGCTGAACAGGTAAATATGCAGAAATAATAGAGATTAATGACCAATAAATCAGGAGAAATACTGGGGTTTGATAATAATAATTCCAAAAGGCTGAATCAATGTTACAAAAGACACTTCACCGATTCAGACAAACCCTATTCTCAAGTTACAGCCGGAACTCACAACAACCACTATGGAACCCAAACACATGCAATGCTATCTAAGCATGCCCTCTGGTTTTTGAGAGCCAGTCTCTCCCTTGAACAAAACCTAAAAGTAATGACTAACTCCCCAAATGAAACTAATGGCTACTATAATCCAAAAGCAAAGTGCACAGTCTCCCACACCAAGTTCTGCTAAAGCAGACCTAAAACCACCATGAGTAAATACTAGGTTTGACTAGCTTTCTCCTTAAGAGTAAGGAGAGCAAGGTCAACGTTCTGCCCCTTAGAAAGATGCTTTCCCTTTTCTTGCATTTTTCTGAACCTCCTCTTATAGGTTTTTCCAGCAAAACAGAGTCTATCAGTATCTCAGTATTATAATCAATAAGAAATATTTTTCTCTCAATTCCACATGGTATCAAAGCCAAGAGATTAGGGTTAGGGTTCTGTTAAGTTTTCTTTTTCTTTTTTCCTTTTCCCTTTCCAAACACTAGTTCATCCATCTCTTACCTGAAGAGTGACCAGACTCTGTTGTGCACCAAGATAGAGCCTCCTAGCTCTCACTGCTGACTAGGGGAGATGACCAGTCCCTGGTCAGCGTAACCCAGGAATGACAGGGCCATAGGTGGCATGTGCAAGCCACACTTGCCCTGCTTTGTGTCTCGATCAGCAACGCCAATCAGGTGTGTGTGGGCATGCGACGATCTTCCTCTAGCAACAATCACCTTCTCCAGCAACAATGGGCTGTTTTTGGCGTGATCCATGGATCTCTCACAGGTGGATTACTTGGATTGGCATTTGAAAATTGCACAAGCAAGTTGGACATGATTAACATCTATGATCCAACTTGAAGGAGAGTGTGGGAACATTCGCCATTTATTGTAAATACTGTCCCTAGTATATAGCCTTTATTAGTATTTATTAGCCTTTATTAGACTTAATTAGTAATTATTTTCCCTTCTTGTATATATAGCCAATATGTACCTTAGTATTATAATCAATAAGAAATATTTTTCTCTCAATTCCATCTTACTTGATGTAAAATACAAGCGTTCCATACCAGCAATCACAAGCATAGAAAAGTTGAAGTTTACTAAATTATAATAAAGGAATTCACAATGATAAGAACAAGAAAACCAACCTGCGGGAATCCCAAACATCCAACCATAAAATTTCCATCCTGGTAAAACGGTAGCATGAAATTTAAATCAGATTAGAAATTACATCCAGATTCATTAAACTAAACCATAAAACCATTCATTACCAACTGCCTAACTGATTTTCCGATTTATGATTGATCACTATTTATGTTAACTTATTGGAAATATCATAGCCATCCACCATAGGTAATTAGGAAAGAACAAAACCAACCATATCATGCTTTTAAAAAATCAGGTTAGTAATCAGAGCAGACTCATGAGTTCTGCCCCATTTATATGAACAGCCAAAATGCACAAGAACTGACACCGAGCATGGTAGCACTCAGGAAGGATGAATATGACATACCATTAGATTGAAGGATGACGTGATAGATAAAATTGGATGGATAGGTATCATATTGCAAAAAAACTGACTCAGGCAAACATTTCCATGAACGCAAAGTAAGCAATTAAAAAAGCATACTCGATTTTTCTTTAGCACCATGTCTGATTCTCGACAAAGCCCACATGGCCGAACAGCTATAACTTCTCCAGCTGCATGAATCTCATTGCTGCCAGATCTATTGGATCTGCATGGGTGTTTGGAGATGAATTGACATATTGGTAAAGAGTTCATGAGAGTGAATGTACATGAGATTATCACCTCTCAAAAAATATCGCCATGGCTTCTAGAAGTTTCACTTTATTCAATCTCGCCTGCATACATTTCCAGGTTATAATCCATTTAATAATCTGAGTAATAAGAAAAATTAATTAGGTATGTTACATGCAACAAAAAATGCAGATGCTATGCCAACCCACTTTTGCAAGTGGCTAAATCTAAGTTCCAAGGAAAAAGATTACAAGATATTAAGAATTTGAATGTTGCTTCCTACAAAAGCATTGAGATGTGTTGTCGGAAAAAATGACTTTGCTGCAACAAGCTAGGGAAAGTTGGTCCACCGTCCCACTTGGTAGAGAGGGAGGAAAATAAGTCCCTTCCCTTGATCTCTTTGCAATGTCTATTATATCCTTGTAATTAGACATGTGTTTTTGTGCTTGCACCTTGCACGAAGCTTAAGGAATGAGTCATATTGTTCATCATTAGCAAATATTGCACCTTGCTATAAATTTTATTATATATATATATATATATATTGATAAACATATTACAGCTCAGCAGTGTCTATCCTATATCTTATTACTTTAAAAACTAGGGCACAAGGTCATTTTATATTCTGAAAAACACTATTTTTATCCCATTTTCCATTCTATTCCTTCCCATTCTGTGTTCATCCTATCATAACAAATGACATGCAAGTAGTATAAATGATGGAGTAGAGATATCCAAAATGGAGGAAAATCAATACTTTAAGGTTCAGGAAGGCATCAGATATCCGGTAACTAAAGTGTGAGCTAAGCTAGGGAAGAGAAATGATGGATACTACTTTAAGAATTAAGCTTGTTGAGAAAAACTTAGGAAGAATTACAGCCAAGTTTCACACAAGAAAATTAATTATTGCAGGGTCCATTCACTACTAAACTAAACTGCATTGATAACTGATTGTGTTGTTAATGCAATTTAGTTCAATTGTCAATGGATCCTGTAATAATTAATTCCTGTGTGGCACTTCAATATAATTCTCCCAAAAACTTATGACACACTTGGATGTTGGAAAAGCAAATATTTCTTCCTCCAAAGGAATGCAAAGAGTAAATGATTAGTTTGATGTGTACTTTTCTATTAGGGAAAGACCTACAAGATTAAATGCAAGACAATGTTTCATGGTTTTTTTTTTTTAAATAAAGCAATGAATATTGCATGAATCAGTGCCTTCTTTTGATTTGACTTGAGTAAGGCGCATTTTTGTTTAACTTCTAAGGGAGTTATTATGGTTAAGAAAGGCTCAGATCGTCAACTTGGAAAGTATGCTAATTTTCTTGAACTGACCATAAATTATCCAACATCCACTACCATTCTGGTCTATAGATGAGAGTATAAAATAATTATTTCCACAATTAACAATAATATGACAAATGTGTAGTTTAATTAGAGAACCATAAAATTGTCTGAAAATAACATACAATTCTCTTGTTTTAATTTGAGAATTCAATGGGAAAGAAATTAAGAACTGCATATGAAACCCCCCAAACCCAAAAAAAAAAAAAACTATAATTATCCCTCTATGATGCTCCCTACAATTCTACCATCTTATTCATGGCGCTAAAGTATTCTGGTTGTCATTGGTAAGGCTAATGACTTGCTGAGAAGCCCAACAGGCCGATATTGAGGTTTGTTCTGTTGAGGTCTCACTAGTGAAAATTCCAAACATATAAACAGAAGCATAATAAAAGACCTCAAAATTTTAGGAGATTCAGTTAGACATTCACAAGAACAGGGGTATAAATATATCTTAAAACTGAAGCAGAAACTGAGATGAAGAGTAGTTTTTATTTATCACTTTAAATGTGATTTCTTTGGTGTAAGGAAAACCACCTCCGTAAATTAGAATTTCTACAAGCAATCATCCGTCTAGATGTTTACTAGCTCAATGCTAAACTAGATTCATGCTTTAGAGTAATGAATTTAAAATTAGGTTATCAGCAGGAGACTGTGGATTCCCTTAATATCCAAATCTTGGTAACAACTAACAAAGGAGCAAGAGCCAAATAACAGCTTACATCTAGGAAGCATGCTTTCATCTGCTGCAAGCTGCTTGCCAAAACATCAGCTTTGGTTTTATTACCTTCACTGACTTCTTTCATGTCACGTTCCATAACTGCTCTGAGATATGGTTTCCAGAGCTTATACCTGAAAAATAGGTTTTCCACAAATTGTTACCTTCTCTAAATAAGACAAATGCTCAACTAAATCAGTAGTTGGGGAGCATGCTGAATAGCTAATGTAAGAAAGCAAAACTAAGATTCGAACATAAGCTAAATAGCCTTCTCCTGACAAAGTATCTGGGTAACCAGGCATTGTATGACACGTGGGAAATGATAACATTGACAGGTTTTTATTTTTGAACTTTCAATGGTTGAATGACTGCCTTTCTAGGCTCCCAAAAAGGTCCAATCTTAGCACATCACAATTTAAGAAAATTAGGGCAGGTTCTATGGTAAATTGACATGGTTTCTTACTGTGGCCCGTGGGTAAGGATCTAACCAATGAGCTATTTAAAGGATGGTGAACAATTACCAAAAAAATGGGTTCCACGATATGCATAGAAGCTAAAGTTTCATGGCTAGTATCATATGCTCAATAGCTCCCATAGGCCCCCAATTGACATCCCCCCTCCAAAGAAGACAACTTGGTTCCATGATATGTATTGAAGCTAAAATTTTTGTATAATCTCCTAACTCAAGTTTTTTACATATTTTATATTTCACATAGACACAGTATTACTAAGTCAATTCTTGCCAGCAACAGGACTTAAAAAATTTATTACACCTAAATGGTGAATTTTATCATGAAAACTTGAAATATGCTAAATTAAAACAAGATCTTGGGATTATAGATAAGAACTTAACAATTAAAAAAAATTACTTACCCCATGTCATCATAGCCCATAACAAGTGCCTCACCCTGCAAGCATAGTCAACTTATGATTCTTGACAATATATTCACAGGAAAAGATATTGACATGCTTCATTATCTAGTTTTGATTGCTTGTGCCAAAATTAAACCTATACCTTTCAGAATTAGGTACATAATGACGAAACAAACAAAATCCTGTGATAAAAACGCTTGGGAAGATAATTTTCTTTTGGTGTTGACAATGAACCTATGGATAATTCTTTTTTGTTTTTTTTTTGGGGGGGGGATGATTTTTAGAATGGGGCAACCATAACCTTCTGCATGTTCTAAGAAATGCAGCTATATTATGTCATCCAGACACTAGGCTACAAAATCAATATCTCGCAATGTAACCAACCATTCTCCAAAGATCATCGAAGAAGAGGTAATGAGTATTTGTTTCTATAGACCTTACAAGCCTACTAAATCAGTTGGATGACATGCACATGTAGTGGGTCAAACCTGATTTGTTCAGTTCAAGAATGCTTTGACAACTGAATTATCATTTTTACCATTGCATAACAAATCCCTTCAACTGAACAGAATTCTTCATGGATGGCTAATAAATATTTCTCTATAAGATGAGCAAGTCAAGAAAATTATCCTACGAAACAAAGATCAATCAAGAAGATCAAGAAAATGTCTCAAATATTGACTTGAACTTACAAGATTAGTTGGTGTGAAACGAGTATTTGCATCCTTCATTGCATAAAACCGATCTAGAAGCTTCTTGATATGATCGTGCATTGTAGCATCTGTACCAATACCCTCCTTTTGAAATGAATTTTTAAAAAGCAACAAAATCAATATTCAATATAAAGAACATATAATTCTTTTACGGGCAATGGACTGTCAAATATTTTAATCATAAGGTCCAGTCTGCATCAGCTTCTCACCTGTCCATACAACTCAGTAGATCAGCTTCACTCAGAAGCGGTGGGGGCCTGGTCACTCGTGAATCAAGGGTCAATGTTGTTGGAATAAACTGCAATATCAATAGTTCTGAATGAATACTTGCTTTTCAATCATAAATACAACCTCCAGTTCCGCATATAATGCTGATGTAAAGTTCAAATTTCAAACCTGAAATTATAAAACAAATATTATAGAAAAGTATAGAACGAAATTGGAGTTATAATTCATTTTTTCCAAAATACCAATCCCCTCTCACTCTCTAGAGCTGAAAATAACTCCAAGCTGTTCATGTGCTGGATATATGGGTGTCATTATCAATAAAATATGCCTCATCACGATTTCATCCTATATTTTGACAATCACGCTTTCTTTGGTAGCCTTCATTCAGTCAAATTGACGCTAAAAAAGGATAAAAATAAAGGAAGAAGTGTTGGAAATTCCTCTCCTACCCTTTCTAATCTAGTCGACTTTGGCATCTAGATTCATTGATCAAAAGTTTGTTAGCTTGCTCCCTCAAATTTGGAGAAGAAATTATGTCACTGGTGACCTGAATTTATCCTTCTCATCATGTCATTAACAACATGATCATACTTCCTCTCTCCATTAACACTAATATTTCATTTCCCTTTTCCCCATCTCCAACATCTCATTTCCAATTTATTTTAAAATTATTTCTGCTTTATGGCATTTTTGTCCACCAGCTGTTTTCCTTGTGAGTGCCAGGCCTGTTGCCTCCGCTTATTATATATATATATATATTTGCCACCCATGTACTCTTTTACAGATGTGAAATATTCACAATAATTTTAAGCATCTTCCTCTATTTTTCCTGGTTTTTTTCCTTCAAGAAGGTTCTAAGAATCAGCTCTGTTAAATTTATTGGCAAGGTAAAATGCTTACTAAAATTAACTGAATGCAAAATGCTGTATACAACTATGATGTTATAACTTAAAGCAAACCTGTTGACCAACAGTATAAGTTGGAATCATTGCCCCACCCCAAGATTCAAATCGATAAACATCCAGGTAGTTCTTCTGATTCAATAAAAACCAGTCAAGCAACAACAATAATAGTCAGAACACCTGTGACGTACTGTTAAAACAACCAAAGAATGAGGATTAAAATAGAAAAAGAAAATATACAGTTTCCGCTTGACATAAAATTTTTAGATTCAGGATCACATCCCGATAGGATAAAAATCATAAAAAATCTACTATGTGTTAGTTTCAAAGATGACAGAAATCTCACCGCTAGTATCACCCTCCCAGATGCAGAAAACATTTCACCAGCTATATCAATTTGAACAGTGGTTTCAGCTCCTACAGCAGGCTGGGAGACACATGCTAAAAAATGGCGAACAACTAACTCATACAATTTCTGTGGTAAGTAGGAAAGTATGTGAATATTCAGGAGAAATGCAAGGTTTGTCACTTAAAAAGAAGTAACAGGCAGTAATATTTTACGTGATGATCCTGGCTCCATCTAGATTCTCCAACAGAAAACTTTGTGGGGTGAATTGGTGGATGGGCCTTGTCATCATGCCCCCCATTACTAGGGTTTCTCCAAAGTGATGTCCCAGGATCTAACAACCGTTGTGCATATGATCCCCACTCAGGATGCCCTTGTTGTTCTTGTACAATTGTCTGCAATTAGAGATGAAATAATCAAGAAAAAAGGTCAGTCACAAAGAAAAGCATATGGGCGAAAAATATATATATATATATATATATAAAGTTTAGAGAACTATAGCACCATTAAGTTCAGCAGGACAAATAACATCTTGGATACATGACATAAAGATTTGTTGGAGTTTAATGTTGGTTATCAACAGAGGCGGAGCCAGCGTGGACTTGGAGGGGGGCCAAATTTTTTTAAAAAAATATGTACGTTGGTTTATAGTTTTTAAGTTTTTTAAAAACAATCTTGTTATCTGAAAAAATTCATAAGATAATATCTATAGTTATAAAAAAATAAAAATAAAATTATTTCAAGTAAAATAATATATTTTACATATTAATTTTAGCAATATAAAGAATATATAAAAATTATGCTTATAATGTACTCTTAGATTTCTTTAAATTTTAGTATAATTAAACAAACATTAACCAATATGATAAGGAATTGAAATAATAAAAAAATAAACTTATTCAATATTTTTTAAATAAAGTTACTTTATATTCCCTCCTACCTACAATATAATTAAGCTATAATGTAGTGTAACAACTTTATTGTTAAGAAAAAAAATAGTTGAAGACTTATAGTATTTAAAAAAATATGTACATGTTTTCAATCGTACCCTCATTAAATGTTTTATATAAACATCTTAACAATAACTTTGATATTCAAATATATCATTTTTTTCAATAAAATAAAGATACAGTTGAAAAGGAATTTTAAAACTACCCAATGTCTTATATTTTTAATTGAGGCTTTTAAAATTTTCTTATAATATAAGACAGAGGGAGTATACACTAAATGTACTAACAAAATAAGATATGATATTTATGTGTGTGTCTATATATATATATATATATTGTGCATGCATAATCTATGAACCCCATTAGCCATGGCAACCTACTCCGTTGGTATATATCAATGTCCGAAAAATTGAGGGGGCCTTGAATTACTCCTAGGTCTGCCCCTGGTTGTCAAAGGCCTAACACAGCCTTCCTTCTTTATCTAGGCTTGGGATTGGTTATGAGAGAAACATAGACGGAGTTAAGTTCAGCAAAACAAAAAAGAATAAAAGTAAAACTCTTGTTTTTGACAGAAAAAGAGTACATCAGGTTACTTTAGGGTAAAAAACAAAGAAAAAGATATTGTTAACACAGTACAAATTGACTAATTCAAGCAAGGGCCTTAGAAGTTATAAGCAGTGATTAATCAAAATCATAGAGGCTTTCAAAAGCCAGATCTCCACTTACTTAAAACCATTAATTCCATTTCGTAAATGTATTTTATATAACCAAGAAAACCCATTTTTATAATACAGATTACCAGAACATATATAGACCACAATACGCATCAACCTTATACAAAATCTGAAAATCATACTTATGAGTTCCAAGTTCCGTGCAACATTCAAGGTGATAAGCACTTCATAATTCCTTTTCTCTTCAAAGACATTTCCTTTGTTCCTTTTCTTTTGGGTATATAACTGAACTGTAAAGTTCAAACAGCTTCTCTTAATGCCCATGTAAAAGAGAATGTTCTCAATAGTAAGAAAAAGCGGGTTGCATGCTCCTTTCACCAGCTCGGTTAATTTTTCACCATTAAATGTATCCCAACACTAACTCTAGTCCTCTCGTGTATGTTGTCCAAACTCAACTTGGATCTACAACAATAGTCATACATGCTGGGACAGGAGACAAAAAGTTACCCACATGCAAATCAGTCCTCGAAGAAAAGCTATCAGTTTCTGTGCGAGGATAACTGATGAAACCAGCTTGGTATAGTTCTTCTGCCACCTAAAAATAGTTAAATGAGGTGTGAGCAGGAGATACATCTATGAAAGTATCACACAATCAAAAGCCATTCAATGAAAATGTTGAAATTTGTGGTTAAAAGTTTAAAACTTAGATGTGGGGAATAGGAAGGTTTAATCACTTGCAAGCCAATGTACACAATGGAAGCCCTCTCCCAGGATCCCCTCTTAAATTTGTACTAAATCATAAACTCTTCACTTATGGATAAGGGATAATAGAGAATTTTCAAAAATTATTGTGAATCATTTAACATGCCAATTAATTCATAATACTTATCCTCCAATAGCTGATAAATCAAATAAAATAGAGAACTATATTGCACCATATCCATCAACCAATTCAAAGCATTAAAATAACTGCACAAAAAGCTTTGCTCATTTAACAAAGTTCGAAAGACTAAGATACATCCAAATAGTTGTCCAAATAATGAAAGACGTAGAAAAGCTTTATAAATACTGATAAACTAAGTCCTGCATCATTAACCAGGCATATACGCACGGAACAGTTTTTACATAAGATAAAAGTTTATAGCACATATTAGAGAATATCCAAATTACTTCCGTGCTTTGAGCATTGTTTTCTTCTTTTTTCAGTTTTGGTAATTGGCATCATCTAGAAGCCCATTCTTTCCTTCTATGTATCTTCAAAATCAGTAGTGTAAAGATAGCAAATCACATGGAATGGAGTTAATAAATTAAAGGAGTCGCCACTCATCAGTCATCAGTACAAAGAGAACTAGATTAAATGGATTCCCGATATCTCAATCACCTTCATTGTTTGTTCAGAACTCATCCGGAAGTATCGCGAAGCACGCTTCTCAAGCTCAATGGTATTCAGAGGATGAGGAGGAAACTTCAGCTTCTCCTGTTGTCTAACTTGCATGACCTGAATAGTAATTAATATTTACAATGAAACAATACTATGGATTCCGGACATTCACGGTGACAAGCTTAAAGCATGACTTACAGTTGCAGTTGGTTCATGAACACACATCTCATATATTATAACTGCGCAAGTATAATCAAACAAATGGCCCCGCCTGCCAAACTAATTCAGATTATATCCTGAGCCTGCAGTTAGAAAAAACTGACAAGAATTATAAATGCACCAAAAGCTTCATGGCTTACATCCAACTGAAATTAGCAATGCCTTCATCTGATTTATGAGAACAATTTATGGACCAAAACTCTTCTGGCTCATGTGCTTGTATCTCCCAGTATCGCTCCACAATAAATCCAAGTGTAGGGAACTGCAACCAACACAAACACTCAGGAGTATTAATATCTGCTTGAGCGTAAAAATCACAAACCTTCATTACATGTTCAAGGTTTCAACGGTGGCAAACCTGACAAGGACCATAACTCAAGACAAGATTTCTATCATCTGTAGCAGATTCAATTATGAAAGAATCTTTCATTAACATTGTTTGGAACCTGGTGAAAGAAGCACCAATACGAAGATCTATTTCCTGAAAAAAAAAAAAAATTGATACCATTCATAAAGATACGGTATGTGAGGATGGAAAAACACATGCCCTTAAAATTAACTATCAGCTTCTTATATTGCAGGTTATGGCAAATGAAATGCCACCAGATCATGTTAGTTGATTGTAAAAAGGCATGAACATTGAACTCTAATAAAATGAAAACTCAGCATTATGATTTTAACAGGTGACTTACTTGCCTAGCATCCACGGCATCCGCAAACCACTTGTTAGGCTCAACAAGATTCTGCACAGCTTGATGTATTTCCCTGTCATCGCATAGATCAAATGTCAGTCAAGGAGGTCGAATCAAGGCAGAAAAAGATTAAGTCTAAAGAAATAATGAATCATACTTGGTGTGGTCCTATTTATACATCACTTTCAACATGCTTCACTAGAATAAAAAAAAAAAACCATTAACCCTATTTTAAAATTTAATAAGATTTCACTTCTATCTTTAATAAAAACAAATAAAATTATTTTTAATAATTTTTCCCAAGATTTAATTTTATGGGCAAAAATGTAAACATAAACATAAAAAAATAGTAAATTGCCCTGTAAATAAAACAAGAGTAATAATTTTGATTTGTAACTGGTACGCTATAAAACCTGTCAATCAGGGCAGAAAAACGAGCCCTCTTTACATTGAGATGGCGATTTACTGCAATGCAGACTTCTACTACTTCAAATGCAATGTTTTCACCCTCTCTGTCGCAATCAAGCCAGAGAACAAGCCACTGGCATCTCCTTGCTTCCTCCTCCAGCGTCCTTTTAATGTCCTTTTTATCCTGAATTAACAGAGAAGATACGTTCAGTAAACTACTCTCCACGAACGACAGGAACAACACTTGCAGTAAATTACCAAAATAGAAACAATCACTAAAAGCCACGAGAATACGAGGAATGGAGTGAGACTGTAACAATAAAATAACAGAATTGTGAACATCTAAGACCTCGGGAACAAATTTATGGACAGGAGCATGGTAAAGATCAGCGGGGTCGCATGAGAGCCACTTGCGGTAACGCTCTTCGAATTCGAGTTCCATAAGGTGGCCAGTGACGGATGTGAAGAGCATGTGGCAAGGCTGGCCCCGAATCGCGTAGTTGAACTCGAAGATCTTGTTATAGCGGGAACGACCCTCCCTTACTCGCATGCCCTGGCTCCTCGAAAGTATAGCGGCAACAGACTTGGCCACCGACGGCTTCTCCGCCACGTTGAGTACGTTGATGGTGCGCCCGCCCATCGATTCGATTAGGACCGGACTGGGATTAGAGTTAGAGGATTATGGAGTTCGACTTCGAAGCTTTGCAATTCATGATTTTGCGGGAAAGGGGTTTTTGTGGGGATTGTTTTCCCGCCCAAAATTCCGGATTCAGGACGTGGCTTTTGCTTTAGCGTTAGACGGCACGGTTTCAAAATTAAAATTAACGGAAATGGGTTGGTACTCCGCATTTTAAAAAAATGAACTGAATGAAAAAAAATTCAAATGCTGCTCGCCCAGATTATAATGTTATCGCTATCTTTAATTTTAAATTCATTGTCTTATTAGTTATGAATGAAGATGAGAGTGTGGGCGAGTTTATACAGATGAATCAAGTTGAATGAATCATCAATCAACCACTCATTGTTAAGGGGTTGTAATTTCCTCGCCCCAATGGGCTTGTGAAATAACTAGAAAAAATTTAAAAAATGAAAAAAATTAATGAAAATAAATTATTACATCTAACCTCAATTGTTTTTTGAACCAATATCCAACCTCAACTTACCAAAACGTAACATAATTTAATTTAAAACGAAAAGATATATAAAATCTTTTGACAAGCAACATTAGAAAACATACCAGACTAAAAAATAGGAGAAAAAAAACGGAGAATTATACATAGGTCTCATCAGTTTTTTTAATAATTGAATTAAGGTAATTGATAATACAATAATTTTAGTTCAATTTTTTATAAATTTTATATTAATTAATTCTCTTGTAAATATTTCAACGTTATTCACCCCAAAAAAACCAACCTTGATAAAACTTGAGAAAATCATAATCAACTATTACTAAACAAAATTAATTGTTCTATTAGATTGAAAAATCCAAATGTAATTAAATTAAAATCTGTTGCAAAAAGAACAAATTATTCCTTATATGTATATATATTTATTTGGTGTGATAAGAAAATTAATTATTATTAAAATAAAAATAAGACATGTTTTTTTAAAAAAAACTTATTCACTAGATTGCAATGCTTCACCTTAATCATCAAGTTAATTTCTTAGAGTTGTTAATAAAAAAATTTATTTTTGTTAAAATAAAAATGAGATTTTTTTAAATCAAGGTTTATTTATCAAATCATAACACTTATCTCTTTTCACTATCAATTTACTTTTTGAAATTATTAATAAAAAAATTAATTATTATTAAAATAAAAATGAAATTCGTTGCCTTCCAAATGAGATTTGTTGTTAATAGAGAGTGTGTGTGTGGAAGACAGTTTTATCTTCTCATAGTAAATTTTAATTATGTGTAGATCCTTTTTTATTTTTATTTTTTTGAGCAGCAATTATGTGCAGATCCTTTAATCCAACCAATTAATATCAAAAATATTTGGTTCCGTTGATTAAAAATTCTGTCGATCGTTGAATGTGATCATCCCATAAAAGTTTGACGGCGCAGATAAACCACGTTCTCCAGAGCTCATAGATTGTGAACGGAGGATATAGATTGGACTTCCCCAAGCATGACGCCCCCAATGGCGATGATCTTCTTACTGTTGACCTTTCTTGCGATCTCTCAAGCACAAGATGCTGCAACTTCACCGGCTCCAACCGTCTGCATCATTGGCAGCGGCATCGGTGGCTCCTCAGTCGCCCACTTCCTCCGCAAGTACTCACCTAATTCCCCCCATCCTATCAAAATTCAGATGTTCGAGCGCAATGGACTCGTTGGGGGTCGCATGGCTACTGTGAATGTTGCTGGTGACACCTTCGAAGCTGGAGCTTCAATTCTCCATCCCAAAAACTTTCACGCCTTGAATTACTCCAAGCTTCTTAATCTTGAGTTCAAGGAGAAGGACTCATCTTCTGGTTCCTTGTCTCTGGGCATTTGGGATGGGAAGAAGTTTGTTTTTAAAACGTTCATAGTTGATTCCAATGTTCCCTTGCTCGATAAGCTCGTCTCACTTGTTAATTCGCTTCTTCTGTTCATCCGCTACGGCTTTTCACTTCTTAAAATGAATACTTTTGTTGAGGTGCCTCGGTCTTTCCTTCATATCTCTGAGATTCGATATATTTGCTTTAGTGGCGGTTTTTTTCTTCTTGCTGTAAATCTTCTACTCAACGTGTATAACCATGTCGTAATGCTTTCGTCTATTTGTTATTTAGAGTACCGTGGCTCGATTCTTAAAGTACTACGAAGGTCCAGCATCGAGACCTATTTTCGAGACTCCAGACGAGATGCTGAAATGGGCTGATCTGTATAATCTGACAGCCAGGACTTTGCAAGATGAATTGGTTGATGTTGGGTTGTCTCCCTTGTTGATAAAAGAACTTGTCACTGTAAGAGCTCTAATTATGCTATTTTCATATCTCTCATCCGATCTTTCTGTTGCTTAGTTGAAGTGCTGAGCTCAATGGAAACAACTTTTTTTAGGGTTGAAGTCTATTTTTGCCCTTGAATTATTTTCTAGTCTCCTAAATTTTTTGAAGGAGCAACGTGGCCTTCATAGTAATGTTGCCCCAACATTAAATAGGTAAATGTTGACTGTTGACTTTGATAACTTAAAATAAGTTTAACTCAAATCATAACATTGTTGGCCTTGGAGTGATGAAATCATGGTTATGTTGCCTCTAACATTAAGTTTGAATCAGCAAAGTTATCAGTTAACGTTTGTCTATTTAATGTCGAGCAACATTGTTATACTTAATTGCTTCAAAGGTAGCATTACGACAAAGAGTTTAGGACATTCCTAAAAAAATAATTCAGGAATAAAAATTTACTTAATTTAAAAAACAAACAAAAGAATGAAGTAACAGTATTGATATTTCATTCATCTAACAATTGAAGTACAAGTAATGTTAATGGTGCTGGTGTTGGTGGCACTACAGCGAGTGGATTGTTTCACCATAAAGGATGAGACAGCTGTTTTCTGATTCTGTAAATGCAGTATAAAATGGTGAACAATGTATTCGCAAGAAAATTCAATCTGGGAGCGAAGACCAGTTATATAAAGTTCATGACATAGGTGGCGAAAACTGAAAAGTGACGAGTCTATCAATATGGTAGTTCAATAACTTTATCTGTGTGCGTGTGCCTCACCGTGTTTATATTCAACTGTAGTACCAGTTTAACGGTTTCTGTGAAAGTATAATGTTGCTAAAGGACCAAAAATTTGGTATGTACAAATTCTCAAAGTCTTGTGAAGGTGTTGGGTATCAGTCTGCCCTTTTAAAACGGCCTGACCCTGAAATTGGAAACTATTGCTTGTGCAGCTCATTCATGTCCCATGTAAGTGTTGGTTCATTAAATTTAGAACTAGCAATTAGGGTTGGCCCTTGAAGTATCAAGGTCTAAACAGGCTAGTACTGTTGAGCCCGACAAGATTTTAGGGCTTTATTTTGCAAAGGCCAGTCTTGGCCCTTAGAGCTAAAGAACTGGCCCCGTGAGCCTTGGTCATATTTTTTTTTCTTTTTTCAATTTAAAAACCTAAAAAAATTTATAATCCTACAACAAGTTATTACATATAAGATTAAGTTTAGGAAAATAAATTCAATTAAATCTACACCACAACAATCAACAAATATGTAAAATTTAAACATCAAAATCTAATATCAAATAGTAACATCAAAATCAACACCAATAAAAATTAGACTTTGCTAGCATAATCAACAAAATCTTGAAGATTATAATTATCATTATTATCAATATTAATATAATTTTGTTCCTCCTTCTTGTGGAGCCTCCTTGATAGCAAGGATATTAAACTTTTAGTTAGTCTTTTATATTTAAAAAAAAAACTGAATCAATTTTAAAAAAATTAATAGGGCTTAAAGGGGCCAGCCTTGGCCCTTTTATTTTTAGACCCATTAGGGCTAGCTCTTTTAAACCTAAATTATCATTTCTTATCCTAAAATAATGGTCCAGCCCTTGTTATTTTCAGGCTTAAAAGAGTTAGCCTGATGGGTTTGGCCTTAATTGCCAACTCTAATTAAATTAAAGGCAAACAACTTGTTGCAACTTGGAGGTCAATTAAAACTTTCTTGTCATGTGGCTTTTCCATGGTTTTCATTGACAAAATAGTTGATACCCCTAGCTTTTTCAGTTTTGCTTGTGAAGTGAGATGTGGATGGCACGGTGCTTCCCTTTTTTGTATACTAAGTTGTCCAAGTAAGCAGCAGGGCTTGAGATTTAGGAAGACTCATCAGAATTGCATCCTCTTTATTTATACAGGTCATCACGCGAATTAATTATGGCCAGAGTGTATGCATCAGTGGGCTTGCTGGTGCAGTTTCTTTGGCAGGATCCGGTGGAGGATTATGGTCCATTAAAGGAGGCAACTGGCAAATGGCAGCTGGACTGATTAATCAGTCAGATGTTGCATTGCACCTGCATGAAGGAATAGAATCCATTGCTGACCTTGGAGATTTTTATGAACTCAACTCCACGAAGGGCAACAGTTATACCTGTGAAGTTGCTGTGGTTGCTGCATCTTTGGATGAGTCAGATATTCAACTAATTCCTCAGATATCAATTTCTAAAAGAAAAACACAGCATACCTATACAACTTTTGTCAGGGGCCTTTTGAACCCTGTAAGTATCTCGGGAGACAAATTTACTGAAATAATTGAATAAGGATGTTTTTTCCTCAGCGTAATGCCTTTTCTCTTCAATTCTAATTGCTTCAATTCCTAATAGTGATGTTTTGTGTCACGCGACATAAGGCATACTTTGGTCTCAGTGCGGTGGTGGGGATTCCAGAGCTCGTGGGCACAGTCGAGGATCCTGACCTTCCATTTTCTAGCATTTCAGTTCTCAAGAAGTATGATGCAAGAGATGCCACTTATAAGATATTCTCTCGTCAACCAATGTCAGACACGTTACTGGATAGCATTTTTAGGTAAATTATTATCAGCTAGTTGTTTAATTAGTAAAGTCATGCTACTGATCTGTGCAACAAAATCTGTTGTCTAAACCTGCTGACTTCCGGTCACAAAAGTAGTCTGGTATGTAATTTAACAAGTAATGAGTCCGTAAATCAAACCCAATATCATCTTTTATTGTGGTCAATCCCTGAGGTGCAAAACAAACAAGATGGAACCTAATGTTCACATTTTCTTGTATTCTGTTTCTTGTGCTCTGTGGATTTGAGATCTTCCCTCTTCCCTTGCCCGCAAAATTGCAAAGATGATAATAAAGAAAAGGGCTGAAACCAAATTCTAATTGTAACTCGTGTGTGTGTGTGTGTGTGTGGAGTAATTGTAACTCCTTTAAATTTTATATATGTATATATATATATATTATTTTAATGGCCGCTACTTGCAGTGTGAGGAAAAATACTATCAAGATAAACTGGCCTGCCTACCCTCTCTACCATGCCCCTGAAGTATTTGCACCATTTCTGTTGGATGGTCGGCATTTGTACTACGTCAATGCATTTGAGAATGCAGCTAGCACCATGGAGACAAGTGCTGTAGCAGCTGAGAATGTTGCCCGACTCATAGTGTCCAGATATTTTGCCACAATGTCTGTGCATTCATCAGAGTTGTCCACTAGCTCTCATGGAGGGGAATCCCATTTAGATCTGTAAATTGCAGTGATTGTACTATATTCTTAATTACATTGACTGTCATCAACTTTGTACATGGAAAATTTTGGACACCCCCCCTTCCCTTTTTGCAACAGAGTTTGTACATTTGACTTCTAAGGAACCTGTTCCCCCCAGTCAATGGGGACTCGACTTGTTTTTTGGAGCTTGCTTCCAGGCTGCACGCTTCACGTTGAAAGGAAAATTCTGCCCCCTTGGGGATTGGTATGATAATGAAGCTGAAGTAAAATCAAGATATTTTAATCGTTACATTTTGTGGGTTTAGAAATTCAATCAGATCTGATAAAAAAATTTAATAACGTTTCTATGATTAGATCAAATTTTGAGCTTTCATTTTGGAACTGAATTCATTTTCTCGTTTTACCTCATACCAAAACACAATATTTATCATCTGGACACTAGAATGGAACCCATTCATTAAATCACCGATTCTCTTAACATTCAATCAAGCCACAAGGGAGAATGACGACTTTGATAACCAGGCGTCTAGCATGTGGGTTTAATTCATCAAAAAATACGTTCCCCGTATATGATTTAGGATGAAATGGATGTATCATATATGCATGTCTGTTTGCATTAAATGTTACTGGACAAATTAAATCCTATCAGAATTCCAGTGATTTGATTGCACAGAATTTAGAGTTGATTTTGTGATGATAATTGATGCATGCGGATATGGAAGCCATGCGCTCCACCAAAAATTGCGCACGCGTGATTGAGCGACAAGGTTCTTCAGGCTGGCAATGGCTCCTCCAAAAGTGTTGCACCATGAAATCACTAGCATGGTTCACGTGATTATTTCCTTTATCACAATCTTAATTTGGTAACTTGTAAGCTTGGACATTGAAAAACAAACGCGGACAGGACAGGACACAAGGTCCCTAGAAGATGATACACAATCACGGAACTTGGAACAATCCTGGATTGAAGATGCTCGGAGATTGGAGTTGACAAGATCACTGGACGATGATGCGGAATCACAAAACTTGAATATCCATATACCTGAGTTTCGCATTTTATTTTTTTAATAACTAACAGATGGATTTAAGAAATAAATTAAAGATTTTAAACTAATAAATAATATTTTCATCAAGCATGCGAAAATAATCGTGTCTTTATTTCATCTCCTGAATACGTCAAACCCGCAACTAAGTTTCATGCATGATGTTATTAACTATATCAATTTTCTAATTTATAATAATTACACTCACATATTTGCATTTTATTTGATATTGACCTGCATCTTCAAAATAATAACAAGGTAAAAGCATAATTAACTATTAGATTATATATATTAATTTTAAAAAACTATTAAAATAGTTAACTGAACCAGTATTTGTCCGAAAAGTTTTCTTGATGCATGCAATTATTGCGACTGGAATTGGATAATTTTCGTGAGGATTTGTCTTTTTTTTTCTTGTCAACGTAAGGATTAGTTTATATCTTACAATCTTACTAATAACATAATTTGCTGGGAATTTTATACTCTGTGCTTGCTATGTGTTTTTTTACGGAAAAAAATGATAAATTGGTCCAATAAAATTAATTAATTAAAATTAAGTTTTAAGTATCAAATGAATTTATAAATTTATTCTTCAATTTTATAATGTAGTGGTAATAAATTTATAATTTATTTTTTAAATTTTAATACTTGAAAAATAAATAAATTTGTTTTTATTATTAAAATCTAAAACTTGCAACCTCCCTGTTTTACCAGACACGTTCGCATGTCCTCTGGATAACTCAACCAGAGGCCTTCTGGCTGTTCAGGGGTTCATCCTATGAAGCTGAAGATAGGGCATCGGTGGCTTCACGGTATCTTGCAATGGCTTTAACAAGTAGTTTCACCGTTCTACAGAACAGTCTTTCCCTGCGACGTGGTGGATGGATTTATGCCTCTCCAAAAAAATTCGTCTCAAATTTATGGTTCAGACCCAAATCATCTCTGGCCGCTCAAAATTGCAATCCCAGATGCAGTAGTGGTGAGCCCTCATTAACCAAGAGGAAGCTCAACCTTACCGTTGTGGCAACGTCGATATGGGGTTTGCCTAATGTGTCTAGTGCATTATTGGCTGAAGAAATGAAGCTGGAGAGGTACACTGATTCGAAGGAGGGTTTCACCCTCCTTAAACCCTCTTCTTGGATAAAGGTACTTGCTTATATCTGAATACTTTACAATAGACCTTTCATTATCTGTATGGTTAAGTATATCTTTGTTCTAAAAGAATCATATTTGTTAATAGGGTTGATAATTAACAGGTTGATAAAGCAGGGGCAACTGTGCTGTTTCAAGAGGCAAATATGGGAAGTAACAATATTGGGGTTGTGGTAAACCCGGTTCGCCTTGAAAGTCTTGACAAGTTTGGAAGTCCTAAATTTGTGGCTGATAAGCTTATACAATCAGAAAAACGTAAGGTAACTGTTTATTCCAATGCTTCTGTAACTTTTTGTCAATTCATGCCGTGTAATACTAGCGGCTGCTGAACTTGGTTGTGACGGGAAAACTTCTTTTATTATCCCTTTTCTAAACAGTATTTTTAGAAAGAAGAAGACGAATAAGAAGTTAAGGTCTTGATGGCTCCATAAATTAGCTATGCCAGATTCAATCAGACGGCAGATCAAAAATTCTATACTGAGTTTAACCATTGATTGCAGCTTTTTTATGATAAAAAAGTCATGACAAGTGAAAATCTCAATTTAACATAAATTCTTAGGTTAATGACAACAAAGAGCAGAAAAGCAAAAAATTGATCTCTGAAACTTCACCGAAGGCGCTGAAAATGCCTATTTGAAGTTCCAAGTAGCCATTCTGTTGTTTTCTGGTTCAGGAAAGTACAAAGGAAGCAAAGGTGATTAAATTTGCAGGCAGGTCAGGGGAAGGAGGTTTACCAATTTATGAATTTGAATATATAGTTGACAGCACCCGGGGAGGAATGAAGAGGATTTTTTCTGCAGCATTTGTGGCCTCAAAGAAGCTCTATCTTCTTAATATTGTTCACTCTGATAAACCAGAGAGTCCCCTTGACTCTTATAAAAGAGTGATGTTAGAGCAAGTGCTTCATTCTTTTGATGCGGCAACTTTGGCATGACTTGCTCCCAACTCAGTTCTCCTGATTTTTTTTTTTCATTCTATAGCTGCCAAGCACCAACACAGGCTCAAATTTTATTTGACAAGTATTTACAATCAGGCAGCCTGAAAATTTAATGTACATCTTTAACTAATTTCAAGGTATTTGTTATATGGCTCGATGTTTAAACTATCATTTCATATCAAGGATGACCCAAACTTCCTTTATATTCATTCCTGCATAATTTTTGTGCATATATGTACATTCTTTTCTTAGTCCTCAAAACTCCTGATCTCTCTCTCTTATATCCTTTTCTTTTTTTTTTTTTTCTTTTTGGCCAAAAGCTATCTCTCTTATATCACACACTTACACATCACATACCCACTGTTTTTCTTTCACTGACATGTATATCTATATATCGGTATTAAATATTTTTATCTATTATGTATATTTATTGCAAGTTGCATTGTTCAAAAGTTATAAACAATGCAACTTGATCTACTTGCGTCATTATTATTTTTTTGGAATATATGGCCATGGTAAAACCATGCAAAGAGACTAAAATCAGGTTATGTTAGAGGCCATAAGGCTTCTAAAGTCAGCAGGCAGTCTGTCATATAAGGTAATATCGAAATGATCCCTTGAAGTCTTGTAGGCTAGGAGGTCGGCGCAACAATTGGCTTGTCTGTAAATATGATCCAAAGTAATTTTTCAGTCCCTCATGGTGAGATTTCAAATACTTCTTAAAATTGTTGCAAGAGGGTGGCTTTGAGCGAAGTTACTTTTGATGAGGGAGAGAGTATCTATAAAATCGAAAACAAACATTCATTTTAGTAATCTTGACATTCTAGCATATGTTTAGACCTTCCAAAATCCCTATAAGCTTGGTTGTAATGCTTAGTTAATAATCAAGATTTTTAGTAAGTCCTTTGATCTAGTTTCCCTTGGCATTCTGATAAGACCTTCCAAAATAAACTCATGTCATTATTGAAATTGCATGTTACTGAAGAAAGTGTTCATTTATTTGGGTAAAACGACCAAGAATAATTTGTCACTCACTTTTTCCCTGCTTCTTATACGCACTTAAGGACATCCTGATGGCATAAAGTCATAAAGCAGCATACAAGTTATTTTGCAGCAGAAGCTGTTCTGAGAGACTTGGACTTAAGCTTACAAGCAAAGAGTAAAGCTTACATGATCCTAATTGCATGCTAATTAAGGAACTACTGCCCCGTTCACAAAATGGGTAAACTGAGGAGGAAGGTTTGGCACCTTTGTTTACATCTCTCTCAGTTCTCTTAACTCCTCCGTCCATACACTGTAACTCGAGTTTTTAGCCAAAACGTCTTTGGATACCTCCTTATTTTCAATGAGTTGGCCAGCATAATTTTCAAACTTCTCGATGTTACCCCATAAATAAGCCTGCTTGCATGTGTCAGTTTCGCTTCTGACGCTATCTAACCAGTCCCTTGCTTCTTCTACCCTTGCCCAGAAGCATGAATCTTGGGTCAAACTTGCAAAAGTGCTCCTCATATGATTTCCTTCCGCAGCAGTAGGTGTTTTTTCCTTCCACCATCTATCAAAAATTTCATACCTTCTCTCTCTACCATGCTGTATGTAATGCCCCTTGGTTCTGTGCATCCCTTTCCTGTAATACTCTGCAATATCCAGTGGCTCAACCAAGAGTTTATAGAATTGAGAAGAATTGGTCCATTTTCTACTCCTATCGAAGTCATAAGGTAGTTGATTACTTTCCAACATCTCAATTACGTTGTTCCAGAACCTGGCAAGTTTGAGACGGTTCATGTTAATTTTCATGCCCCTTCTTGAAGACCCCCTCCCCTTGAACGAGTCATAGTACCCAAGCTGGTCATCTGCCTTATCACACAGTGCTTTATACCATTCTATTTCAGCTCTGTAAGGTACAAACTTGGATAAGGTAACTGCTAGGCTAGCATGTTTCAGAGATGGTGAACGACCTAGTCTCCTTGCCATCCGTAGGCAATCCTTGACGGGTGTGGCAGCTGATCCCTGTTTAATACATGGAGTTTAATTTGTTAGGTAATTCACCTTCCTCACATTTCGTGTGTAATGGGAAAAGAGGCTGGTATATTTATGGTTTTTCCTTTGATGTTTGAACTGGGGGAAAAATTTCCCGTGTGGCGGTTCAAGTCTCCAATAATGAGAAAAGTTTTAGAACACTTTTTTAGGATTTACTATTAGATTTTCTAATAAAATCATAATAAGTATTTATTTCTTATAGCTTAAAATTGAATGATCAGAGTTGATAAAAAAAAATTGAATGATCAGATTGTTACGGAAAGAAATTTGCTTGTGATGTTTTATAGAAAAAGTTTTAACCAAACAGCCACATTTGTTTGTCCCAAAAAACACCCACATTAAAATTTACCCATGGCTCACCTATCCAGCACTGTTAAATTACCTGGCTGTCTATTCCTGAGGATTTCATAGCCAATTCAAGCCCAGCTTCATAGCTCGAGTCAGAAATGTTTTCCTGCACGCAGTTCCTCTTAAAGGCTTGCAGGGACAGATTATTTACGTAATCACCATACTTAGATGATCATCAATACTGCAAGCTAGAGAACTAGGTGCGAACATCAAATGCATCATCTGTATTACTGTTGTTGCACTATCTACACACAGTGCACCGATTTCTGAAACAAAGACATGGCTGCCAAATGGATAAAATGAAATTTGCGAAGATCCCTCTCCATCTAGTGTTGCTGCTGCACTCAAGCAAGCCATTACAGAGGAAAACAATTCAGCAATCTCTTGTTCAGAGATTTTAGCCTCAAGGCTTCGAAGTTCAAGTGAAGTCATGGACAGGTGCCAGAACTGGAGCAGGAAGTTCAGGTGAGCAGTGAGAGGAGGTTGCAAAGGAGCAAACAAGAGCCTTGGCATTATGTCATGCTTTGAGACTAGGTGACAGAAGTTGCCACACCATCTTTCTTTGAGAATGGCTCGGGACAAGGACTTGTTTCCCAGTAACGGCGAGCCAAATGTGGTGCACAAGACTGATATTTCAGACGATATGGATCGGAGGTAAGATAAAAACCAGAGTGTGCAAAGAGACGCTATGGCTCCTCCGAGGGAATGGCCAGTGATGACGATGGACTTGGCATGTGTGCTTTTTGTTATTGCAAACACCTGAATGGTAACATTTCAACGATTAATGAAGGTTGGTGATTAGAAATGATTAGAATAAAAGTTCAATATCAAGAATAATAATAGAGAGGAAGTAAGTTGTGCGTGTGTGTGTGTTTTTTTCCCCTTCATTAGTTAGCCTTAATTATTTGTCTGTCGTTTTTTATACATTTTTTTCCTGTGAAGTAAACCTAACTTTCTAAAAGGCTTTGCAATATAGGTCCAAAGCAAAGGTGTTATGGATTAGAGATATGTCAGTGCCTCGGTGGGGTCTCGTTGGGGAACATCTTGATAACTCAAGTCTTGGAGTCTTGCTCCCGAAATGTTGAACAAGGACTAATGCAGCTTATAACCTTGTGTAACGGACAGGGACGCTGCTCTCCCTTATTTGACCTAATTAATCAACTCACTGTATTGACTACTGACTATTGAGAGAATAAGTTGTAAGTAATTGTAATAAGAAATAGATTTAAGTTTAACTTACCCGATCACTAAGACTCGTTTCGGAGATGACATTTCTCACGTGCACAAATTTAACCGTTTTAAATTATCATTTTCAAATCCCGCTAAACCAGTCGGATCATCACATCGCTTGCTTGGCTATGACATCAAGACCGCAAATGCAACACCCCACCCCCCTCCCTCCCTCCCTCCCTCTGATAAATATATTTCAATCATTCTACCTGTACCATCCAACGAAAGAAGGGAGAAGGTTCTCTTAACATCATGCAATAGTGATTTCTAATTGTCATCCAGTAACCAAAAAAGAAAAAATGTCAGCAGTGACGAGTGTGGGGGGTCACCATGAATAGATGTTGATTGGCGTGTTATAAATTTCTCATCCTACATGACGACAAAGACAATAATAAGAACGGAGAATTATAACTAAAGAGAACTCAAAAAAATTATTTACAAATAAAAACTAACAATAAATTTAATTACAAAATATAATTTATATTTTTATTTTAACACTAATTTGTTTAGTATTAATTTTTGTTTGGAAATAATTTTTTTAGGGGACTTTGGATGTCATTCTTGCTAAAGGCAAGACGGGAGGTTTTGATTTGTTAATAGTATTGACGCTGACAGTTGCTCCGAGAATCACGGGTTTGATGCAGGCATAATATTTTGTAACCGTAGTGCAATGGAGCCTGTTTAAAACCTGAGAATAATTTTTTACAACAAAAAAATAAAAAAAATATGTTCAATAATGTGTTTTTAAAAAATATTTAAAAAAATTAAATATTATTCTAAAAGATAAAAAAATAAAAACAGCTTTTAGATACTATGAGATTATTATTTTAAAAAATAAAATACTTATTTTTATTATTTTTTATTTTTAAAACATTTTATAAAATATTAATTTTTAAAATAATAAAATAAAAATAATTTTAAATAGCCTCAATATCTCTATTATCTGCCTTTTTCTGGTTGCTTCAAGGACCATCTTAAGGTCCTGTTTGGTATAAAGTATTGAATTTTGTAGGATTGAAATGAGATTAGAAATGAAATTGGATTTGAAAATAAAGATTTAAATTCATGTTAAATGATAGACAACAAAAATTCGTTAAATGACCCAACTACCCTCATCTTCCTCCTCCTTGACTTCAACTTACGTTTGCTCCATCTTACTCATCTTCCTCCTTTTTAGCTTCATTCCTCACGCCCACAGTCTCTCTCTCACACACCCATGCTTGCGCTCGGTGCCACTACAACTGTCCTTCACTCAAGTCTCTACGTCGTTGGCGGTGGCCAACGAGCAAGCCAAATTTGGGTGAATGATTCAGGCCCGCGACTCCGTATCTCTAAATTTGCTAGTTCCAATGTTGCCGTGCTTCATCTTCCTAGTTCTAGCGTCATCGTTGTGCTTGTGTGTGGCTATGGAAAGCACAATGAAGGAGCTCGATGGATGGTAGTGGTGGAGATGTGAGGGGCGAGGGGTGCAGGGCAGAGGGAAAGACGATAGAGATGGGAGAGATGGAGGGTACTTTTGTCAAAAAATAATCAATCTCAAGATTAATTTTTCAGTATCAAGGGTGGGTAATATTGGGTAATCCCACCTAAATAGATTTAAATTTGAGATTAAAATTTTTATCCCCTCATACCAAACATAAAAATTTGGGATTGGTCAATGTTAATCAATCTCACTTCCTCGTCCCTTCGTGAGGGCCTTAAAACGCGGGTTCTGTTAGGGGCTGCATATGTGATAATTTTCAAAAAGTGTAGACGCTATTATTATTTTTCCCAGGGGGTGGGGGCAGGGAACACTGATGCACATCAAGTCGTTGGTCATCGTCAATGGAATGGCGATTGATCGTGACTGCGCTCGAGGGTCCACGCCCAAAATTTTATTTGCTTTTCGTACCCACTCACACCACAAACATGACCCACCACCACCACCATATTCATTGTCCGAACAAACACGCGAAGTAACTTTCGGGATTCAACCCCATCTTCGATTAGTTTTTTTTAATCATAATTAAGTTTTTTGAAAAAAATCATAAATATCAATTAAAATAATTATACATTCAGAAATTTTTATAATAAATAAAATATTTAAAATTTTGATGTAATTGTCAGTTTATATCAAGAATTTCTGTTTATTTTTTATCAATATTTATAACTTATTCAAAATTTTACAAGATTTTAATTATTATTAATTCTTTTCTAGAATTTTCATGTCATTCTTCCTTTCTTCTTTCTTTTTTTTTTTTTGGGACACCCTTGATAGGGAAGCAAATAATCACTTTAAAGTTTATTCCTTGTTCGGATGATAAGAGAAATTGAGGGGGGGGGGGAATTGGAGAACACAAAATGGATAGATGAGAAAATTTAAAAAAAAAATATGAACACTCCTTATATTTAAGTGGATAAAAGAATGAATAAATATCATGATAACTATAATACCTTTATATCAAAAAATATATATTTAATTTAATAATCTTTATAAAAATATATTGAAAGTAAAAGTTATATGAAAATTAACATTGTCAAAATAATTTAAAATCAAATTATTTTATAAAAATTACTGTTATTATATTTTAAAACCAAATAATTTAGTAAAAGTATGCTATTTTTTAAAATTAAATATAATAATATAAAAAATAAATTTCAATTCAGCTCTTGGCTTGTTGGTGAGGCCATTTTGCTTTCATTCATGAGTTCGGCAGTGAGCATATCTTAAAATAACATAAAAAAATAAATTATATATATTATATAATAAAAATATGAATGGCACGCATTTATAAAAATATGCAGTTTGTAGAGATGATGCAGACTTGCACAATACTAAGACAGAGCAACACGTGGCCTAAGGGTTGAGGTGAAGAATGGAAGGTGGAAGATGATGAAACAAATGCTCCTATATTGAATAATATGCAAATACAAAGAAGTAGGAGAGACGAAGGTAGATATGAAAGAAACATTCCTCCCAAAAAAATCTCTCCATTTGTAGAGAGAAAATTTGGGGAAAAAATATGATAAATTTTACACCTTATTTTTCCTTTCACTTTTTCTTGCTTCTTTTATTTGTCATCCAAACAAAAAAAAAGTTGTTTTTCTTTTTATTTTCTTGCCATGTTTTCTTTTCTTTTTTTTTTTTTCAAATTTTCTCTTCATCCAAACAAAGTTTAGGGATTGTTATGTTGAGTGAATGCTTAATGTATGAAAAAAAAATGCACGCATTTAAAAAAAATAAAGTGGATGCATTTTACGCTCATTTTTCACAAAAACCATTTTTCTATTCAACAAACATTTCCTAACAATTAGGATTTTTTGGTTGCATGCCATTTTACACGTGTTAGTATAATTCCTTGTTTCTTAACAAATACCACTTCGATGTGACCACAAAGATTATAATGATAGGGGTTGCTAAATTTTTTTCTCGCAGACATCGATTAACGTTTCGTTTTGTTAAGTATAATTATTTTCTTGGAGGCTTAAGCGCCTGTAAAACAAAACCTCCCCCCCGGGGGAAATATGACAACTTCTTCATTATGTATGTATGTATATTTTCGATGGGAATATTACACACTTATTTGCAGGGAGGTGTGGGTAGCTGGAAACTTAACACAGACTCGGTTTCGGTGCCTATAAGGTGATGCTTAGTATCAAAACACTGTCACTTCAGAATTAGCTTTTTTCTTTTCTTTAAACCACAAAGTTATTGTTATAATAACAAATAAATATTATAAAAATTATTATTTTAAGATTTAAAAAATAAATAAATTTAACTTGTTAAAATTTGACCTGAACATTTTAGATATGAACTTTAACCTTAATAGCTTAGAATTATATAATGAAAAAATGAGGGAAAAAATGATGTAAACAATTAAGAATAGAGGTTGAATTTAGCTAAATGAGTTAATTCCTCAAAATGTGACAAATTTGTTTAATTTTATGATGAAAGAAATGCCTGTATTTAATACCTGATCATGTTTTGAGCAAGATTATCTCTAATAGATGAACACCTTTGCAAATGCAATAAAAAAATATTTATTAAAATATTTTTAATTACAATTCTAATTTTTCATTATAATTCTAAACTATTTAGGTCAAAATTTATATGAATTATTCAGGTTATTTATTTCATATGAAAATAATAATGTTATAATATTTATTTATTATTAAAATAATAACTTTATGGTTTTAAAAAAGAAAAAAAAATTACTAACTATGAAGTATGGCACCACGCAATATTGGAGCTGAGCACGATGAGCACCAAAACCAAATCCGAAACTCCCAGGGTGTAAATTAAAGACGCGCGCGCGTCTTTGAAAGATGAACATAAAAACTATGCAAAGTTCATGATTCTTTACTCTGCATCTCCTTCCTGGTTAACCTCAAAGCTATCTTTAAAACCTTTCATTTATATATACAAGACCCTCAACAAATATATTCAGGTTCATTTTTTCAATCTATCTCAAAATATTAACCGTTCCGGTACACAAAAACACAGAAAAAAATTGCAGAAAATAAAACGATAACACGTTGAACATATATTATTTTTCTTTTTCTTTTTATAAACATATATTATATTTCTAATTATATTGACTTGTTCTTTCTTAATTCTTACCCCAGGCTCGCCCTCGTGAACAGCAAGTACTTCATACAGGCAGAGATCTAAAGGAGATAGAAGTATATCACTATTATGTACTAATTAATGAGTGGCACTGACTAACTTTTCTTCTTTCTATTTTAAATTTTGCAGAGGGTACCAAATTAAGGTTAAAGGCTTGGAAAGTTGCAAGGAAAAAGAGAGAAAGTCAAATGAAGAAACAGGGCGATTGTTGGGTTCATGCTCACAGCAGACGAAATTACGGCTTCGCATGAATTCCACAAATACGAAGATTGCATGCAGAGTCCAAAATGTATAGAGCAAAATCGAAGTAGTTTCTGAAGGATCAAACCTGGTTTTGGAATGAGTGGAACAAGGACCAGAAGAGATTAAGCATCCCTGCGTGCACCATCACCGGCTGATCTTCGCCTTCGGTATTTCGACGCGATGAAAAGAACGCCACGTCGCCGATGCTATCTAAAGCTACAAGGCTTCCCCAACTCGGATCCGTCCCGCCGGCCATTTGGACACTGGAGAAAGCAACATAAACGACGCCGCCTATTCGCTCCGTCACGAAACTCCATGGTGCGGCGGCGTTTGCCCGGCTGCACAGCTTCCATGACTCCGATAACAATGGCGTCGAAGCCAGGAACGTTGCCAGCATCTCGGTGGTCTCAAATCTGCCACAAGAAAAATAATCTTAAACAAAAGCCACTGAATATGTGCTTTCGGCTTTCGGCAATGATTTTGCTAGTTTGACTGAGACTGAGACTCGTGAAGGAGGGTTGAGCACTTACTTCGAAGCTTCGTCGGCATCCATGGAAATCGGAATAGTCGCTTTCTCTTCGTTGGAACCTCGATCTGGAGAGGAAGAGTGAGCCGGGAATGAATCAGTGAAACGATAATTTGCCGAGTTACGGTATTGCTCCATGTAGTGCGTCTTATTGAATTCGTCTGAACAGACATGTAGTGACCAGTGAGTAAGACAAGAGTCCTGTTCTAAGAGCAAATATTTTTTTGGCTACAATTGTAAGGGTAAATGTTACAGAGACTTTAAATCTATATTAAGTATATTTAAAAATAACTTATTTTACAAAATAATTATTTAAATCATTTGATTAGATATGTTTTAAATTTTAAATATTTTTAATTTATCTTCTATCTTTTAATTTGAGATTTCTTTCTTTATCTCTAACAGACTATTTAGGCCACTGAAATTTTTTATTGATAACAAATGTAAAACAGATTGAGTCATACAACTTGAGAATCAAAATCTTCATGAATCAATCAATAATTTTTTATTAAAATACAATTGATTGATAATAAATTAATTTATTGTATATGCTGGTCAACAAAAATTAATTTATTATTTGGAAATAGATCGGGATTGTGATTTACGTACAGATGACTTTTTTACATATTTGGAACATCTACAAAATGCAGTGGGTTAGATTAATATTCACAATTTTTTTACCATCCTTGAGTAATTGAACTCAATTTTCATCAAGTTATAGATTGATTTAATTTCATGTTTTTTTGGCAAAAAAATCACGCATTTTTAAAAGCTAAGCACAGTCTTGATCATATATAATGAACGTGATGATTAGGCAAATGATATTTACTAATTCGGGGCAGTTCGTGAACCGATTGAGACGCGGTTATTATTGGACGGTATACATGCCAGTAGTGTCAATTGCAGTGGAGATTTAAAAGATCGGCATCGCATCACCACTTGAGTCGTCAAGTCATCATCTTTCTTTTTGTGTATATGTACTTTTTTTTTTTTTTTGCATGATAAAGATGATCGGTTGGATCCCAAAAGCCATCGCCTCTGTTTTTTCTAAATTCCTTTTCAATTTGGTGATAATAATTATAAAAATTATCAATAGGTCCTTTATAAGAATTTTTATAAATAAATCTAATGAATTTGAAAGAATTCCCATGAAATTTAGTTTTAATTAGTTTACCACAAAAGATATACAGTGCAGATGTTTACTAGCTGTTATTGGCTAGTGACTGATAGATGTTGACTAGTTATCACTTAATCAACCAAAAAAATAATTTTTAAAAAAATTATTTTGATTGAATTATTCACATCAAACATCACAATTTTTTGAGTAAATATTCAAAATTTACAATTCAATCTTTATAAAGTCAATTTCTTACAATATTAGTGCATTAATATTTACAAATTAACTTCACAAATTTACAAGTTATATATCTTAACTCACAAGTCTTACTAGTAAATTCACAAACTTTAATTTATGAATATTCAAATATTAACATTACAACAGATTACCTCGTAAATGTAAGGAGTTTTGCTTATAAGTCTTCAATATTTACTTATTGGCGTGTAATATTTAACTTATAAACATTAATGTATTAATATTTTCATACAAATTTTTTTAAAATATTTATTATTGTCTAGTCAATGTGGGCCAGTGACAAGTTAGCGGTTGTCAGTGACTGGTTGACACTGGTTAGATGAGTATAGATTTGAAGACATTTATATTATTTTATATGATAAAATAATTACAATCAAATCTTATAAAATTTGAGTATATTTTAGATTTATTTATAAATAAAATTTTAATACGAGGCTTGTTTGTAATTTTGTATAAAAAAAATATAATTATTAATCTTTATAGTTTCACCAAGTGTTATTTTTATTTCCTTTTTCCCAATGTTTTTAGTAGAACTATGCAACAATCAATATAGGCTTGCTCAACGGGTTATCTATAGTCCTTCTCGTTTTGGGCATACCTGTGTTTAAGCTGTTCCAAAATGAGCTAGACTAACCTAGGCGGGCTAAAACAGGATTAAATCGGCCTGTTTTTTTATGAGTGTTTTTTTTAATAATCAATAAATGAGTCATCTGGCATGCACTTTTACCTTATATTTCAATACAAAAGTCCAAATATAATTAAAAAACAAAATTTAACAAATAGAAATCCAAATTTTTTATACGAACTAGTATCCTCCCCGAAAAAAGAGCAATTTAAAAGGGAAGGAGGGGAGATGATCAATCAGTCTATCATGCATGCTGAGCTAGAGAACACACAACCGTATATCGATAAGCTTCTAACAAATTTATCTTTAGAACTAAAGCATCCAAGTTTGAACAATAGTAGGATAAATTCCCAAATAATAAAAATAAAAAAGCCACAAATTAAGCGTTCAATTACAATGTTGTGTCTTCCATTCACAAAGGAGTTGAGAACTTAACGATAGTTGCCTAATTTTGAAGTGTTTTAATGTAAGCAAAACATATTTTTTACCATGGTATGTCTTGTGTTAAGTGGTTTGAATTATTTTCTACTATAATAAATCTTTACTTACCACGGCAATATTTTTATAAAGGAAGCGTCACTCTTTATTACCACGGCAGATTCATTTCTACCATGGTAAGTGTCTAGCATTACTAAAATAATTTATTAACCATGAAATTGTGAAAGATTAGTTCTAAAATTCATAGTTACAGTGAGCTTCAAAAGTTTAGATTTGGCCTTGACTAGGAAATTTTCACACCATGAGTTAGAGAGACAAGGGAGACAAGATGAGCAAAGCTACTACTGAACTCAAATTGAAGGTTGAAATTGGAGGAGGGATGACAAACAAGAAGACGAAGACGACTAAAACACATTGACTGATTGCACTACAACTAAAGAGGAGACAAAATGAGAGTCAAGTAGAGTAGAGATTGGAGAAGAAAGCAAGCGAACGAGCTTAACTGAAGACGAGGATAAGATTTGCTTAGTTGCTCCTTATGAGATTACAGCCTAGTGAGAGTCTGAGAAGCGAGATGCAAGTGCCAATTGCCTAATATGCAACTGTAAGTGTGAGATTGTAAGGGGTGATTGATGAGGGTTAAGGCCAAGGGTTTCTCTTTTGTCTTTTCTTTTCTTTGGACAATGACACCACATAAAATGCAACGTTGAAATGGAATTGAATTGAGAACTATTTTTTTTTTAATTGCTACTTGGGGTAAATGGGATATAAAGGGCAGCTTGAAAGGTAACTCGCAACTTGTCCTTCCTGTTTACAATAATCACAAGCCAGCTTGTATTTTCAGCCTGCTCATATTTTAAATTAATTTTAACCCTCTTGTTTGGACTTGAGCAAGGGCAGGTCTGTCGAGCCATAAGTTGTCTGCTCATCTCTAATTTTTAGTTGTTGTTGTTTCAATAGAATTGAGCGACATTTGTTATTTATGTATTTATAATTTTAATATTTTTAATCATTATAAGAACTGTAAATACTAAAAAATTATAGAGATTACAAATAAAATTTAATAAAATTATATGAATTGATTATTGAATTTTTTTTTATATGGGGCTAGTGTGTAATTTTTCATTAAGACTAGCTTCCAGCTCTGGTGACAATCTTTCCAATATCTCATGCCTTTTGTCACATACCCAGGCAACAAAATTAAAGGGGAAGAAAGTAAAGTTGTTAGTGCCTTTTGTACAAACGAAAAAGACAGGTGGAGGCATTTTCATGATGTTCCCAATTCCATTATATAATTCAAGCCTGCTTGTCCTACTGGCTCTATTATTTTTGGGATGAGCCATGATTTGGCATAGCCATCTCGGTAGGGGTTAGGGTATCAGAGGCCCGCCAGCCAGCTGCCTTCCAAGCCAGATAGGAACATCAACCTACTGTGATATTTTCATATTTTTAGTCACTATAATCACCGTCGTTGTCTCAGCACTCTTTCTCAACTCGTGGACATGTTAAAAGGTTTTAATCTTTGTTGAAATGTCAAACTTAATAAAACCAATGTCTACTCCAATTTAATTACAGCTTTCATCTTCGTTCAACGCAACTTCATTGAGAATCATTCACTTTTGAATATCATCAATGAATTAAAGGGTTTGATCATGAGATATTGGACTATTACTTATGCCAATATTTTTTCAAATAAGCAAGTAGATATCAAATTGATTTGCTTATCAAGTGTTAAATGTTAATCTTGCTACTACAATTTTTGCAGAACCACTCTTAAAGTATGAAAGTTTTTTAATGCTTTGGCATGAACTGATTTTTCCCTAAATGATTTTTATGGTCTTGTATTAAATTTTTTCATACCAAAATACCTTTTCATACTAGTTGGAGAAGTTGCCTAAAATGGTACCTAGTGGCCCAAAAACATAAGGAAGAATTACATACAGCTTACATATAAGAAAATCAATTATTAAAAGATTCATTAATAATTAAGAACATTAATAGTACAGTTTTAAATTAATTATTAATAAATTTTATAATGAATCTTAAACAAAAAAAAAAATTACTGTCGTCTTCACTCTGCACCATCACTTTTTATCTCTCTCTCACACACACGGGGTTCTAGTCAAGCGGTGGGCCGTGTTTAATCAATTATTGGCCGCGCATTGCCCCCAATTCCTGACGCGCATGCTAACACTGGCAAGTCACGCATGCGCATGGATTGTGTTGTGTTATTGTATATTACATATTTTTATTTATAAGATATTTTTAAATAAAATTATATATATTAATAAGATTTATTAAATATATTTTATAATCTTATTTTTTAAAATCAAAATTAAAATGTTTAAAACTGTCTTTCATTTAATACATTATTTATAAAATAATATTAAAGGGAGATAATATATGTAAAGAATAATATTAAAAATATATCATTAATAAAATATTGCTTTATAAAAATGTCTTATATTTTAAAATGGTGTATATTCTTAAAAAATATCTATAATTTAAAATAGAAGTAGTATATATTTGTTGGCCAACAATTGTGCTGTGATGTTATGCCCTGGCAACTTTTTTTATTACGGCTTCATTTTTAAGTTCCCAACCTTACTGCACGTCCTTCCTTTTTCATGTGACTTGACCAATTTCAGGATTGTCTTCCGATGTCAAAACCGTCTGAGTCAAGAAAAATATAGACAAATTGGTGACCATTTACTTTCTTCGATCTTCACTGAGCCGTATCCCACTAGTTAAAGTTAGAATTATTAATTTGGACAGGCCAGCTTATTAGAGAG